TCACCTTAATCTAAATCTAATCCTTAAGGGTAGGGATTCATTCATAGGAAGTGTGGGATTAATTTCTGATGGTTAGGTTAGGAGCTCATGAGGGTTCAGGGCGGTTCACTTGATGATTCGTAACGCTGATCAAACGGTTCGGAGTGGTTCAAAATATGACAGTTAAGGTCCAGGGTTCATAAACTTCGATGACCAGCTTTAGATGATTCAAATGAGTAACAACAGGCGGTGTTTTAAAAGCTTCGAGTGATTCAAGCTTCAAATGACGCACATCGGAACGGTTACTGAACTATTTACGGGAAGAAAAAAAATAAAATGGATCACCTGAAGAATCACCACCCCAAATTATTCCACTTAAAAGAGTAATTACCCTAACATAATTTGGGGACGATGAGATTAATTTAGACTGGGATAGATTAGGTTAGATTAGCATTAGGTGAAATTAGCTAGGGTGGAGATTCTTCAGGTGATTAAGGAAAATTAATTTAAGACTTCCAGGGAGGAATCTTAAGACGATGTAAATTGGACTTAATCTCGAGGTCTTTATTATGATGGATCAATGTACCCAAAACCCCGGGGCCGTAAGCATAGTTTTGTGTTGGTTTTGGTGGCGAGTTGACGGTCAGAGGTGATGGTGAACAGCTTAACGGTGAGGAGGGAAGGTGGTGGGTAGGAGGGAGGGGAGGAAAGGTGTTTGGAAGTTGTGATCAGGAGGGGAGGGTAGAAGGTTGTGGACAGGAGAGGTAGGAGGTTGTAGAAGGGGGACTTGGAAGGAAAGGTTGGCAGGGGAGGGTGTGTAAGGATAGGGGTTATGGAACGGATGGGGGACAAGGAGGTTGTAGAGTGGGTGGGAGGAAGTGTTTGGAGGTTGTGAAGGGGACAGGGGTTTAGAGGTAATGGAAGAGAGACATAGAAGAAGAGGAGATGGGAGGGTTAGAAATAGGGGAGAGTGAAGGGAAGGCGTTTTCTGGGAAGGGGAAAGGGAGGGTATAATGAAGGAGGACTCACCGTTCCAAGGGCTATTTTGGTCAGTGATGGTGAGTGTTGTTGGGCAGGTGAGCGGGTGACTAGGCGTGAGTAAATCACCGTTAAGTGATGGTAAATGTTTTGTTGTACACACACACACACACACACACACACACACACACACACACACACACACACACACACACACACACACACACACAGTAAGAGTGAGAGAGGATAAGGAAAAATGGGAACGAGGAGTAAGGGGATGTGGAGAGTATTAGGGAGAATGAGGAAGAGAAGGAGTGAGCGAGAAAGATTGCGTGAATATCATGAGGGGGACAAAGAGATGGCCAGAGAGGATATTCTCCCTGGCTAACACGAAGGGAGAGAGAGAGAGAGAGAGAGGCAGGGTGGAGGGAGGGAAGTATGAACAGGTGGAGAGAAGAAGGAGAACGAAAGGAAGGAAGGAAGGAGGACGAAGGGATGTGAAAAATACTCACAAATATTGATAATTGTATAAAAGCTGGCGGTCTGGGGGTGACAACGTTAAGAGCTGTCAGTATGGTGTGTGTTGTATAAAATCTGGGTCCCTAGTGAATGATACTGACGTTCATACACGCCCACTCTCGGTTATTGTTACTCACCAATATTGGAACTCGGTCAAATAAAGGCCAGTGTAAAAATCATTCTATTTTATTTTTTCCCCAGTGGTTGCATCAGCCATACCAATTTCGTCGTGTGCTGTAAGTTTGTAAGTATGCAGTATCTACGTTAGTTCGCCGTGGGTTCCAAAGTGATGAAACGAAAAAAAAACTAGACTATTATATCAGAGAGAAGCTCGGGAAGCAGCCATCCCACTGGACTCCCCGCCCACCTGGTACGATGACCTCCGTAAACTTCCTGACCTCTCGTACGTCTATGGGAAAGGGTCGCGGAAAAGGGACGCGATTGCTGCCAGTATCATCATTGGGTATGACTTTGCTTGGGAGATTGGTATCCCCGCATCCCCTGAGCAACGCTCTTGTGCATTATGCAGAAGACCCGACAGCCGCATCCTTATCCACTACCTCCTAAGATGTCCCCACACACAACGCTGGACCACCACTCCACGACCCCCTGACGGAGACACGATGATCCTCCCCATACTGGCCAGATATTTTGTAAATAACATTGATTATGTGTTAAAGGAATATCCTTCCTTCCTTCGGCTTTAGTAAGCCCCTTTATAATATTTATATTGTATATACTTGTCACACTTGCCAGATGCTTCTGGTGTCATTGTACAGGGGTACCTAGTGACAGCACTAGGATCCCGCTTCCTCTATCAAGGAATAAACAATTGAAATTGAAAAAATTGAATTGACTATTATATAACCGGGCATTAGGACGGGTCAGGTATTTTTTAGGTTCTAGCATTGCCACGGATGTTCACCAAAAGGAAAGAAGGAAGGAGACAGGGGGTGTTATTATTTGTATTGTAAATGCAGTATAACCAAATGAAAAAGATATAGGCTACAATTATACGCTGTGTGTGTGTGTGTGTGTGTGTGTGTGTGTAGTAGTAGTAGTTGAAGAAGTAAGACTCACAGGCGTCGAATTGCATTTTTCAGTAAGCAAGAAGAAGGGTACTGTAGAGTGCTCATATAATGATGCATCAGCTCAGAGGTGTACATTTCTGTGTACACACTTCTGCCAGACAAGGGATATACATTTCTCCTGATGCTGTCACTTGTGTATGTACAGTATATCAGAGAAAAGTCGACTTCAATGTTCTGTTTATGCACGTGTGGGAGATAAGGGGCTGAGGAAAACGTAAAATGTTGGAAAAGCATCACAAATAGGTAGAACTATGGTGCTATACTGTTTACGACGAAAATACTTAGCGCTAACCAACCCTTTTAATGTGTTTTGTGGTTAACGTCGTCTATCTCATGAATGGTTAAGCAACGTATTGCTTCAGTTATGTTCGCTAAATATATATAATTTTTTACTCTAAACATCTTGCTGGGGTTAAGACGCTGATCTGTACCACTACTACAGATCAGTGGGTAAAGTGTATTGCTCTCCTTGTATCAACAAAGAACAGCTGATCTTCCCCAACTGAAGATGCTCACGTCAACATTCAGTAGAGATTCTGCCGCTGTTATGTTATGACAGCAGTGGATTCATCCGGACTCTTAATGCTCTTCCCGCCTCCTCTTGTTGCTCTGTTACTTACAAATCTTACTGTAGTTGTTATTATCCTTGCAGCAACTTATTTGTTACCTGTTTAGTTGTTTTCTGATTATTCTTGAGTTACGTTAAATGAGGTTTTGTCCTGTTTTGTCATACAAGTTGTAAAATGGGTGAAGCTCGTAGTAGAGAATGAGGCTTCATTAGGATAGGGGGGGATATTTATCTCATGGGTTAGAGGTAGATGGTGTTTTGTCTTACAGCATTTAAAACCCACTTCGTTTGAGTAAGAGGGCTGGGAAGGGAGGCGGTTGTACTGTACATACTGTAGAAGGTAAGTCTAATTAAAGGTAGGTTAAGACAGGTTAATTCACGTAGAATTGCATACTTTCTGCTTGTAAAAGTGAGTGAATAATATTGAACAGGGAAAGATGGTTGGTATGTAATTTTATTTATTTATCAAAATTATTTATTATTATAGAAGGGAGGAAAGGATAAACGCTGCTACAGGCAAATATTGGGTACTATAATGGTTTGAAAGTTTTGGACACGAACGGAATTATGAGAATTAGAAAATAACTAGAACTGTAAAATAGATGACAAAAGACTCATATTTAAAAGTTAAAGTTGAGCAATCCTGTCTGTACTTCACATCCTTTAGTGATAGGAGTGATATTCGTGGGTACCACGAGCAGGAAATTTTTTGGATACTTGAGCTGTTCTTTTTTGTTCTTTATTATTATTATTATTATTATTATTATTATTATTATTATTATTATTATTATTATTATTATTATTATTATTATTTGTACCTACATATAATAACCTTGTGTAATTTCATACTTACAGCCCAAGACGGTGCCGAGTTAGCCAAGATACAGAAAGTGCGGATTATCAGGAATGACCAGAGAGAAGGCAAGTAGTTTTACTGGTGGTCATTACATGTTAATACTACCTTAAATGTGTTGTCTCTTTTAGCATTAGTCATACCATAAACTAAATGAAATTGTGGTTTTATATTTATTAGTATTTAAGTCTGCTGATCGTAACAGAGTATTATAAGTGGATTAGTAAGCCTAGTAATGAAGTGTATCAGTGTTGCGGTCTCTTGGTAACGACCAGTAAGTTGGGACGCCACAAAGACATGCTGCTGGGTAGTTATGAGGTAAGGTTGACGTGCACTTAGTGGTGGCGGTCATGCATCCCTAGGTGCTCTCGTGTATATTACTACTTTCTTGCTGTCCGCGGTAATGAGGGAGAGAGAGAAGAATATTTTGTGGTCAAGGAAAAAGAAGTGAAGTGTGTGTGTGTCTGTCTGTGTTTACTTCGTTATCAGTCAAAAGAAATCCTCTGAAATGTTAAGGTAAGTACAGTACAGTACTAATTTAGTTACATGAGACAAGTAGACAGTATTTCTGATGTGGCAAAAATATTATACCTTGAAGCAGTTTTTATATTTATACATTATTATATAAACAACAGATAAGGCAGTACTGTAGTAGTTTTTTATGTGTGTGTGTTTTAATTGTTTTTACATTATGACAATGTTTCCTTGAAGGTTTGATGCGTTCTCGTGTGAGGGGGTCAGATGCTGCCACAGCCCCTATCCTCACTTTCCTTGACTCGCACTGTGAATGTAACCAACACTGGCTAGAGCCCATGCTGGAGAGGGTGTCTGGGGTGAGCAAGGACCTGTTTGTTTAGAATAACTGCCATTAAAAAAAATAGCTTCCACATCTTAGAAGGTTATGAGCATTGAAAGCGAAGGAAAACTTTTGCCTACATTATTATTATTTTCTTTTTATATAACTATTATACTTGATTTAACAAAATTTCTTTCCATAGGACCGAACGAGGGTGGTGTGCCCTATAATAGATGTGATCAGTATGGACACCTTCCAGTATATCGGAGCTTCAGCTGATTTAAGAGGAGGCTTTGATTGGAACCTGGTGTTTAAGTGGGAGTATCTGTCCTCTGAGGAAAAGAAGAAACGGCAGAAAGACCCAACGCAGGTTATAAAGTAAGTTAAACTTAGTGATATTAATTTGTCATTAGTAATTTGTCTGCTGCACTGACCGTTGCCACTTATCTTTGGCCGTTATGGTATATTTAATCCCCAGTCAATTATCCAGCCTTCTATTTGAGTCTCATACATCAATTTTATTTCTTCTTTCATTAACCTTCCCAGCTTTTAATTATATTTTAATATTTTACAGAACTCCCATGATAGCTGGTGGACTCTTTATGATAGACAAGTCATACTTTGAACAGCTCGGCAAATATGACATGTTCATGGATATTTGGGGAGGAGAAAATTTAGGTATGAATGAATAGGATTTTTTCAAGGCCTTGTGAAGTTATGTCAGTAGTTGTACATGAACCATTGTTTACTGTTTGTTGGTCCAGAATCAAATACCCTTAGTTCAAGTACAGTACCTCATTCTTTAACTCGTAGATTTTTTTTTTTTTTAATTCTATGCTTCACTCTCCCCAGAAATTTCTTTCCGGGTGTGGCAGTGTGGGGGAAGCTTAGAAATTGTCCCTTGCTCACGAGTGGGACATGTGTTCCGTAAGCAGCATCCATATACTTTCCCAGGAGGGTCTGGTAATGTGTTTGCTCGAAAACACACGCGAAGGGCAGCAGAAGTTTGGATGGACGATTACAAGAAATATTATTATTCTGCTGTGCCATTAGCCAAGAGTGTCAATTATGGAAAGTAAGTAATCAAATGTAACAGAAAACAGTATACCTGTATCATGTTGGCTTGTACATTTACTGTGCCAAGTATCTGTGACAACCCACACTGATATTGTACTAAAAGATAGAGGTCAAAAGTCACAGTTCAAAATGTGATCTCCATTTTACTTTGTTTACAAAATGTAAGTAGAATGAATAGAAGTACTGTACTGTAACTGTTTAGATGATTCTTGTCAGAGTAAACAAACTTTTATACTGTGAGAGAAAAGTGAGTACTGTACATTATAGGCAGATATGTTAAAACAATGTAACTGAAGATATTATATTGCTAACCTTTTATAGTGAAATACAGTTTTACAGTTAAGATGGTATAACTGTTCTCTACTTGAGATTCTGCATTACACTCTGAACTTAAGTTTTTAATTTTCCTTGGATTAATATATTTTTGTATTTAACTTTCAGTATTCAGAGTCGACTAGAGCTACGAAAACAGTTGAAATGTAAAAATTTCAAGTGGTACTTAGAGAATGTATACCCAGAGTTAGAGGTTCCAGATGGTGGACACGGCACTTTTGGGGTGTTCAAGCAAAATCTTAAGTGTATGGATACATTGGGTCACCGTGCAGAGGGGACAGTAGGCCTTTATTCTTGCCATGGCACTGGAGGGAATCAGGTATGCTGCATAGGTATTTGTTCTAGTCATGGTATATTAGAGGAAAGCAGATACAGTACATGTATAGTGTCATTAAAACTTCACCCTTTGTTATACCACCAAATGTATACTGTACTGTGACATTCCTATAAGTTTAGAATTTCTAAATCATGGCCTGGATTTTCAAATATTTGACCTCTGTCTGTCTCACTCCCCCTCAGAGACAAAGGTAAATGCAAAATTTCATTAAAATTATCCTGAGATTATTGCAACTTGATATACAGTATATATCCCCATTAAAGGTACAGTACAAAATTTTAACATAGGAACCTTTTAGAAAATTTGATCCCTAGTTGATTGTGATAATATATTCTTTATCAAGAAAGGGCATAATCAGTGGCATACAGTACACACCAAATTTAAATGAAATCCCACCAGCCATTATTTTTAATGAGTAGGAACACACAAAAGGACTGATATATGGATGGCCTTATTGATGGACTTGGCTAAATCATAAATATTTTTGTAATCATCTTAAGGTAATGATTGCTTGCCAATTTATATTGTGTCTAATGTCAAAACTGTTTGTTCAATTTCAGGAGTGGTCACTTACTCGAGATAAATTGATTAGGCATGGTGAACTGTGTCTGTCGCTGCCAGAGCTCAGGCCTGGTGCAGGTCTCATTCTTGCTCCTTGTCAAAACAGTGACTTGCAGGTAGGTGCAATAGCCCTGAGAGCATTAACTTGCAGGAGGAATCAGAATGTAGAATGTTCATGGAGTCTGCTTATGTCACCTCTTATGTATGGATGTAAAGCTCGGGTATTTCAAAGTACTGTACAGTCTCTCCTTGACTTACAGGGAGTTCCGTCAGCGACCAGGTCGTAAGTCGAAAAGGCAAAAATAATACATAGAAATTCTAAAATGGGTGTCTCTTTTTCTTCTCAGCACCACGAGAACTCTCACTTTTACGCTTGCCAGCCATTTTAAAGGGAATTACAAACGAGAATTTTGTCAGTACACAGTGCGATCACTAACGTCAGACTTCGAAAACACGTAATTTGAAAAATATTTTTATTACGACCCACGGCGTTAGTATGTCCAGGTTATCGTGAAATTAGGTATGTAGGTAAGTCGAGGAGTACCTGTACACTGTAGTAGGTCATTACTGAGAGCAGTAGGGAAGGACTGTCTGTGAAATATTATGAGGGTTTGGAGAATTGGCATAAGAAAGAAATGAAGATATGAAATAAATTAGTGGGATCAATAAGTCTCATGAGAGGTGAATGGATGACAGTGTACTAAGTTGGTTTGGACAAAACAAACACATGGCAGGTGAGATTGGTAAGAAAGATTTATTACAGAATGGCAATACAGTAGTAATGAGAGTACAGTACTGTATGCAATCACTTATACTTTACAGTAACAGTATCTACAAGAACTTATGTGTGCTGATGTAATTTAGAGCAAAGGATTATTATACCATATTAAGTGAAAATATATTAAATTTTTTGCTGAGGGTTACAGACACAGCTTTTACATAGTTGTTCTAGATATGGGTGTGCTGTGACTATTTTTTTCTTATTATGCAAGTTTCATATGTATTTTCATCTTTCTTATCTTTGATTTACCAGGTAGGGATAGCTTAATTATAGTTTTTTTTACATCATTCAGTATAGATATTGTTCTTCAAGGGGCACAATGTCATGTGTCCACTACAGAGTTAAGAAGAAGATTATGCATTAATTCTCTCCCCTTGTGTGTTTTTCAGAAATGGATGCGCAGAGATGGTGACCGGCTAATAAAGGCAGTAGGGGTCAAATTATGTATAGATAGTGCAAGGGAGAGAGCAGATGGCTTAGTAGTAGAACTTTGTGATGCGACTAAACTTACTCAACAATGGTCTTTCGTTGTAAATAAAAGTTAATGTTAGAGGTGAGTAATTAATGTAGGTGTGTATTGGCTAGACACTAGATCATAAGAATATATTTGAAATATTTCTTTACTTCTTTTTTTCTGTTTATGTTGACTTCAGATAATTGAAGGATATAGAATTTTTAAGCTATGTATGTACTGTATATGTATTTATACTGAATATTTATTTTTACTTTCAGCTTGTATTTTTTAAAGAACTACAGTACTGTACAGCAAAATGACATGAAGATGAACTCCAGATCTGTTTATGAGAGTGAGTTCACATTTCCTCTGTACTGTATGTACACTCGCTGTCCATCAAGTGAATCCACGCACGTTTTTGACTGTCACTATTAAGATTTTTATTCATTGTACATTGTTGAAATGATGAACTTCAATGTAATTGAAAATTCAAAATACCTGGTATTTGTGGCAAGACAAGTTGGTGCCTGATGTCTGCTAAATGCAGTTCTAGTATGTGAGTACTTACATGACCTGATAAAAGAAAATTACCATAATGTGAGAAGCATAGTACTGTACTGGGTCCTGTGCACTATTATGGGCATCTTATTAATTAATGCCCTCAGCCACTGTGGCAATACAAGTGATGGTAAATTCTGTGTTTTAGGTACTGAACCATATTGAAAATTTTGTAACTTCTAGACCTTCCTCTTTTTAGATTAACTGACCTGTGTTTTTATATTTTATTAAATGAAAATTACAGGGAGAGTTCAGACTAACAATTGTTAGATCTATTACCGAGGAATGTGTAGTTTCTTGCCATTCATTCTATCCTTGTTATATTGTCATGGTTAGTTAAAGTACAATGTTTTATCCATTCAGTTGAGACCAAGAATCTTCTTATTCGATATGTACAGTTGCAGACAAAATTCTCTGAACACTTGGCAATATTTGGTATCTTCTTTTTGGTCATATACAGTACAGTACGATATCGAAAAAAAAATTATTAATATGCAAAGAAAAGTCTAATAAAGTCCTATGTTAAAATTCCAATTTCCGTCACCTAATGAACCTCAAGTACATTATTTGTATGCCAGATTCTGCCACGTGTCCAGGGAATTTTGTCTGCAGCTGTACATCCTGTTTGTTATGTGATTATCTTGCTGTAAATTTTATTCCTATCTTGTGATTAATACATTTATAAAAACCAGCTGTTCCCAAGTGTATGAGAATATGTCTAGTGCATTAGCTTGATTGGCAAACCTGTGTATGCAATGTCAGTGTTTCAATAGTAAAAAGTGAGATACTGTAGGAACTGAAGCTTGTTATCACATTAAATAATTTAAATGTTTTTTGTTTTGTTTTTACTAATTCATGCAATAACAAGTTAGGCCTCTCACATTTTTTTTTTTAATCTAAGGAGTTCAGTGGGACCTTTCACACAGATGTCCATTGAACTCTATTGATTTTTAAGTCACGTGACAAAATCTCGTGTGAAAGAGGCCTGAAGATCAAGCTGATGATGCATTACAGTATTGTTAAGACCATAGTATTGAAGTGAAGAGGTGCTTTCTGAAATTTTAATGTTTTCAGTTTAAGATATAGTAACTTGAAATTGTTATAGGTGTAATTACTTATTTAAAAACTTGTTTCATTTTCATATTATGCAACATATAAATTGTGTGTAATAAAGTTCTCATTTGTTTTGGCATTAGGGGAAAACCTTGAAATTATTTTATTTTGTTGGTAAACAGAAGTAAGAATATTAAGTACCGGGTATGTCTCATTCATAATCCTTGAATATTCATTTATTTGGGAGTCATATTTGGAGAACAACTTTGTTTCAGTAGATTCTAAGTGTTTTTTATTTTTCAAACAGTTTGCATCTTGGTACACCATCTTTTAAAATTACTGTACTGTACTTCTCATATCTTCACCAACAGTAGACATCGAGTGAGCTTTTGGAAACTGATGCAAAGAAATACAGTACTGTATTGTATACTATACAGGTATAATAATTTAGGATGGCATATGGATCATTCAGTGATAAGATAAAACAGTGTAAAGAGAATTGCTTGCCTGTATGTCTGTTTCATAGTTTGTAAGAGAGGGTTGTTTAAGTAAGATTATGTTTTTGCCAGGTAGTGAGCTAATGAGTTTGTCTTGATACTGTTATCCCAAAAATTTAAACCCGGTGAAGAATTGACGGATCTCTCGATTTTAGTTTATTTAATTCTTTTCGATATTTTTTTTATAGTTTCTAGTCAAGACTGTCATGAATTGTTTCCTACCCAGTAAAATTTTTGTGGTTTTATATTATTGTATACTGTACAATATATTCTTATTGATTAGTTTATATTTTGGGATTTGTTATGAATACTGTGATGTTTATTGTTTGTAGAAATATTTATTTTGAAGTAATTAAAATATTGAAGGCATTGACTGTGTGAAGAAAGGTCTTGTCATACTTTAGTCACATTTTATATTGATATTTTCATCCATGACAAGTGAAACTTTAATGAGTAATTATTCTGAACTTTACCTAGAAGATGAGTTATTATTTTTTTAAGTACTGTATAAGAATATTGTTTCGTTTTACCGAGTACACGAATAAAAAAGACTGAGTGGTCAGATTTATAGCTTGATATGAAACTTCATCTCTACAGTCAGGATTGTTGTCTGAAGAATGCGTGTGTGTGTGTGTGTGTGTGTGTGTGTGTGTGTGTGTGTGTGTGTGTGTGTGTGTTGTATATGCATGTTGTGGGTACTTTGTACAGTGCAGTATTTACCTACAATAAGTGTTGGCAGTAAGAATGGCCATAAATACTTTTTCTTATTATTGAAACGATATTAAAAACAATTGCAAGGAAATATCCGTACCTGTTCAAAGGAGAGCTTTTGGTTAACTATAATCCTCACTGGTTAATACTACTGTACTGTAAACCATTTCCTTTATTGGTTTATTCATAGAAGTATACTGTACAGGTATTATGTTGCGTAGTGGTTGTAGGTGTTTATACATTAAAAACCATTCCAGAGTCAAATACAGTACTGTACTGTACTTGTTTTGAAATAATATTACATGTACAAGATCACATCCAGTACTTTAGTTACAATATGAATTATAATTTGTTCATACAGCAATGTCATGTGTCCCTAGATAACAGTTATTGTACATAGTGCTTTTGTTTGTTTAAGAAAGGTTAAATGCAAATAGGAATCGAAGGTGGATACAGGAATTTTCAAGGAAGGGAATTGATAAGCTTCAGTCACTAGATCTCATGATAAAAACTATAGGAGTTCAGTTCACAAGTAGTGGTTGATAACACTGTCAGATAAAGATGGTCAGGTTTATTTATGACAGGACAGTGCACCTCTGTTCCAGGAATGGTGGGAGGGGAGTGCTGGATGTTAGATTTATTTTGAAGGGAACGACATTGTTATGAGTTTAGATAATACTGTAATCTGGTTTATTGTTAACCTAAATGTTCTCTAAAGCTATGTGGGCTATTCCTGTACATTTGATATTTCAAAACTCTATGAGAGTGTTTTATTATACTGTAGTTTAATTACCACACTACCTGTGGAACAGAATATTAGTCATGTGTATATTCTTAGCTTTTATACTCGGAGTTTACTTGTAGGAGAGCAGTAATACATTCAGTTGGCAAAATATATAGTACAATATTAGAAAAGTACCACGTTTAGGATAACAAACTATTTATTTTCTTTTGAAACTGATGAAACAAAGTAACCATGTCTAAATAAAACTCCCCTTGGGTAATTGATGAGGTTTGGTAGCTTGGTGTTGTCCTAAAAATGGTTGGTTTAGTGGTACAGTTTTCCAACATTGTACATCATGCCTCCAGTTGTTGAACAGGTATTTCAACATGCACAATTCTCCAGCAGTTTTGAGTATTGTTAAGTCTGCTTCCATAGATTGTATAGAATTCCGAGTCCCATACATACTGTTTGGAGAAAACTCTGTATATTATGCTGCATAAACTGCAAAAAAAAAAAGGCTTATTTAATGTAGATAGATTTATAGCTTTACAATATCATGACTAGATGTCTACAGCAAGCTCTGCCTTTGTATAGAAAAACAGCAGATGTTGTTTGTTTCCTCATCTTATAGATGATGTAAGATACGACTGTAATTTTTATAATTTGTTTTCTTTTATTCATCATTTTATACAAAGAATTGATGCTCAAATATTTTATGGAAACTGTAATATATTTGTGTAGGTCTTTTTCACCAACCTGGGAAAGGGATTCATATTAAGTTTAAAAAATGAAATACTCCTGTACACATCAACAGTATTGCAGGAGTTTGCTTTAGAGGAAAAATTGAATGTTAACCTGTGTTATTACTGGTGTGATGACAATAATGCTGTGCTTGTTAAAAAATTCATTGTAGTATTAATGCACATACACTGTATAGAATTGAAAGCATCATGTAGTATTACCATTTAAAGTTAGAATGTGAATTGAGTTCATAATAAGACATTTAAGTCCAGTGTTTCATTTTTTTTTATATATTTTTTAACATGACTGCACAATATATTAAACAAGCACAATTCATAGCCATTAAGAAGCTTTTCTCATTCCATTGGATATTATAAAAGTATAAAGATATATATATAGTCATCTTTGTGATGATGTGATCTTTTGGGCTGCTTAGTCAGCCCTACGTCTGCCTTTCTTGACTGACAAACTGAGGGATCATTTTCTGAGTGAAGTTTCACCCTAGGTACACAGCCAATAATCGATACATTGGTCAGTCTTGTTTATATCAATGTTAGAATAGGTCGTATTACCACACATGTGATACGGTACTTCAGTCTTTTACAAGGTTCTAACTGACGTTATAATAGAAACCATTCCTCATAACCCAGGCAAGATAGCTTTAATAGGAAAAAAAAAGATTTAGGCAGCCCACCATTCCAATTTGTAGTTACTAAATATGAGATGGTCAGTGACTGAAATTGGAATAATCTACATGTGCCTCTTCTTAGAGAGAGGTTCAGAGTGGCAGTGAGACATCAGGAACAGATACAATGAAACCTCTATTTAACAGACTATATGGAGAGGGGAGTTTGTTATATCGAGGGTCTGTTTGTGAAACCTCCATCTAACAAACTACAGTACTGTATAGAGATGGAAGTCTGTTATATCGAGGGTCCACTAGATGTAACATCCCATCTAACAGATTATGTATGAAAAGAAAACTCCATTATATGGAGGTTTCACTGTAGTTTAAGCAAGGATAAAAAGTAGTACGGTATGGTTCTGGTAACCCAATTGACCCTGTACTATGCTCCAGTCCAAAAGTAAATAAAGAATCCAACTTGCAGAGTGCCATCTACAGACAAATACACAAACTTACAAGGTAGCAATTATTTGTGCTAACATTTCACAAAAAAAAAGATATACAGTACTGTAAATCATAATATATACTGACCAGTTAACTCTGTTTTTCATAATGTTACTGGAACCTTGCTACTGGTATATCTTCCCTTTCTTTACCTTTTCTTTGTTAGTGTGATCAAACATTCACTTACACCTGTATATTTGTTTCTTAATAGATGATGAAGCGGAATAAAACTTGGTTCATTGCTATAAATAATATAGTACAGTATATAAATGCATGTATTATATTTCTTTTAAATTTATAATTACTGTACTGTACTGTATTTGGTTAGTACGGAAAATGTGCCTGAATTTTTTTTTTCAATTAACCGGAATGTCAATTGATCAGGTAATCGTAGCTAGCCTGTGCAAGTGTGTGGAAAATGGCAATAAAATGGTGATAGTGATTAGGCACTATTTAGAAGATTCACTGATTTTCAAATTAATTTTACTTGAAAATCTTAATGTATGTTTTTTATTATTTATCTTTACTTATAATTATTTGGATCTACTCAGGATTGGAGCCATAATAAATACAGTACTGTATCAAGAAATTGTTTTGTACAGTATTTCCATTTTCACAGAACAAAACTTGTATTTTAAACTTTAATAATTCTACATTTTATTAAACCTTGTCCATAATACTGTACAGGTGAAGAATGGAGATGTTTTGATGTACTTCATAATATTTTCAAAGCATAACACCTGTGTGTATGTCACCTTCACTGTTGTGGGGGTGGCATTAACCAGAGTGATAAGATTCATTTTTCATCCATTCCTGCCATCCTAGGCATCATCCATGGAGCTTGCCATTATTTGAGTATGAAGAATGAATTATTGGGAAGTAGTTTTATTAAGTCTAGCACATAAATTCTAAAATAAAATATAAAAAGCTGTGCATTAGGAGATAAACCTAGTCATGACAAGTAAACCTTGTTTTAAGAGTTAACCAAATTTTCTCAAAACCATTTGCATTGTACTGTACTATACAGTATATTCAAATGAAATATTTATATATTTTGCCAGGAGCTGTTCTTGTAAATATACATCCTATTCTCTTGTGTAATATTTCCTATGTAAGAGTGGGTAATTATGAAAAAATGTATTCCACACCAGTATAATTCATATACTGAATGTTTGTACAGCAGTGTAAACAACAGTCCAAATTTCTTCTTTTACAACTCAGTATCCCACTAGTCATCTGTGTATTTAATGTGCATAAACTTCTGTAAGTGTTTTACAGTGTACAGTAAAGATTATAACGAAATTTGTAGTTTTTGATGTTTGAAAACTAGAAAAAATTCATTCCAGGCCAAGCTTTTAGAGACAGATTTCAATTATAATGCAATATGTGCCAGGAGCAGTAACTAAAAAAATTGGAGGTTACATCACAAATGATTTCCCAGGAATGAGTCATTGTGATTTATCCAAACTTTGTATTTGCTGTTCTTGTTTATGTAACTAAAGGCTTGAAAGTCGGCTTGTATGATTTTTGCCATGTGCTAAAAATTAAAGTGTCTTCCAAAGTATGTGTTCATGTTACTATCAACCTCACACTGGGGGAATTATTAAAAGTTGTTGGATGACATGGTCGCTGCTGGGGGTGGTGCTGAAGCTAACCCAGTTGCAAGAGTCAGAAGTGTTTTGAAGGAAGTTAAGGAGTTGCTGCCTTTATTGATGGCAAGTGGACCTTCCCTTCTTGTGAAAGGAAAGACATACCCAACTGGCATAAGAAGTGTGATGTACGGCAGTGAAAAATGGACAGTTAAGGAAGATAACATTCAGGTTTGACCGAGATGAAATTCGAGTGGTAAGGTGGATGTACATGGAACACTAAATGATATGAAACCTTGTTCAAAGCTAAGACTAAAGGGTGGGCTTGGTAAGGTATTGAGAATACTGTATTGGCAAAGTTTTGCATAGGGATGGGCTTAGGTGGTTTGGACATGTGGAGAGAATGGAGAGGACAAATTGGGTGAAGAGGTGTTAGAATGTGAATATGGAAGGGAGGAGAGCAAGGAGTAGCCCAAGAATGATACAGTATATGGAAGGAAGTTCCTTCAGGTAGAGTGGGTCGGGGAGAAGATTCTTCAAGTGATCTAGAAGTTTATTCTCATTCAGGGTATTAGGAAGAACCTTGTATAGGATTTCTGGGGGGTGTTATAAGTTTGATCATGTAAGGGAGGGGGGAGATACATCAACAACTAGGGAGGGGGACTAAACCTGCTTCCCCTTTGGGGTGCCCTAGACAGACTGTGTCCCAGACCGCCAGCAGAAGCTGGGAGCGCCCAAGACCGTGTGTCCTCTTTGTTTACAACAGACCCGATCTGTTGGAGTCACTTTTGCGTCCATAAAAAACGTGAATTACGCCATGACGCTTCTACAAAGTTATTTTCATTGGTACCAGATATCAAAGTAAGCACTTTCTGTTGAATATGGCGGGGGTCTACCCTCCGGCTAGGAAGTTAGACAAGGATATGAATTAGAATTTGCCCCGCACAGGGGCTAGTTTAATGGGCACCCCCTTACATCCTGTGCAAGGTGAAGCACAAAAGCGTTTACAGTGCCCATCTGGGAAGCATGCATAGTTCATGCTTGCCTTCATGACTCGTGCATTAAGGGTGTAAAAGCCTGAAGGGTCATGGGTTTTGTCAGCAAGCTACATAAAGTGACAGAATGATGAGTGTGTGGAGGGAAAATTCCCGGTACATTTCATCTGTTTATGGTAAAGCATGGCAGGTCCCAAATAATGTTAAGTGCCAGGCCTGTCACTAGGAGGAGGGATATCTGGTCAGAGAGGTGTTGGTAACGGCTGGGGACCTGTAGGAGGAGGTCATAGGTCAAGTGAGAATGTAGTGAGAGACGGGTTGACCACAAAGTTTACAAACAGGGCGGCCAAGCTCAGGGATGTCAATGTACTCCCATAGGTACCTGTACCCTAGGTGTAGTCACATGTACTTAATCTGTTGAGATCGAGTCAGGGATTGATACTCTTTGTAATGGCGGTTGTCGTCACTTGTTACAGCGTCGTAGTGTATGAGGCCAGTTGTCTAATTTCTTTGTTAGGCTCACATACATACGTACATGTAGATCTCGCACTGAGGATGGAGGTGAGAAAGGAAACTCGCAATGGCATTGTATCGAATTATGATTTGGCCTTATAGTTTGAGGTGTTTGGCATTTTCCTATAAAATCAACTTGGCAACTTTGGGTACGTGTAGGCAGACAAGTATGAGACGGAAAGCCGGGAATGATGGAGTCAGACAGCAGGTCAAATGATTAAATATTGTACATAAATTAATAGTGTAGTCTGTTAAAAACTTCGCTGTCGTTTTCATCGTTTAGGTGTTTATTGTAATTATTATTATTTTAACATAGTAATTTACATTATATACTTTTGTAAATCTCGCATGTTTGTCTCATATTTTGTGGGGCCCAGCTGCATCACGGTAAATCCGGCACTGCTAGTTTAGTCAATAAGTCTATTAGATTCCGTAGAATACATAAACAGCTATTCACTTCAGTACAGTGCAGTATGGACAACAAGGTTCTTCCTTACTCAGAATAACAGAAAACTTAGTGAATGAACGCAGGCGTTTTATATTAGCTCGATTTGTTAACTGTTTAAACTTAAGAGTTTAGACAGTGTTTGACGGCACCGACTGTGAGCTCATTCAGTGGCAGAGGATAAATTAGAGACAAGTATCCACATAAAATTTATACAATACTGTACTTTGCTGTATTGCCGTATATATAAGATCCATCTCCCTCCCATCTCTTTAGTCTTATCTCACGTGAAAAAGATCAAATAATACAATTCATATACATTAAATCAACTCAGAAAAATATATCATCTATTCATAAATTCTTCATTAATTATTCATTATGCCGTACAAAATGACAAGTCACATGATGTTGGTTGTGTGGTGCAGGACTCTCATTTGACACTGTGGTTGGTGGGTGTTTAACCACAATCAGCTGGTGCGGTGGACAGAGTTTGGACATGTCGAGGCGAGATGTCAGTGTTTGAGAAAAAGAAAGAAGACAGACTTTCAACAGACGATACTAAGCCACTTGTATGTAATATAACAGACGCCCAGAACACTGATGGACACATAGTGAGTTGTGTTAAACCTGTAAACTCTTTATTGTTGATATTAATTTTCCTTTCTGTCATCAGGTCTTGTTAACACAGGGAAGGTTTTGACTTTCCTTGTCTCATTGCGCAATAACACCAGTTTGTTGATTATAATTTTAGATGACAATATTATAGTTTAGTTTTGCATTAAATATGAATTGAATACTCTGACATTTATTGAGTTAAAGTTTTTGTATCGCTCTAAACATGTATTAATAAATGGACTCAAAAGTTTCCACCCCCTAGGATGTAGTACAACAGAATAGACCAAGGGCCTGCTCTTATTAACTGATTTTTTTACTAATACAACTGTACCAGAATGTTTTTGATTTTTACTTTTATATGGTACAAGTTTTGCATAGCTATGAGTATTCATTTAAACTTAGTGGATATGAAGCAAAGGGAAAATATTAAGAGGTAAATTATGAGAACACTGATCACCAGAAGTTGTTCGATTTCGTTAATTTTTTCCACAAATGTTCTTATCATTATGGTAAGTATTTTAAAAGAGGCGATAACTTTTTTTAATTATACTAGACTATATTTTGAATCTTTTTCTTTTTTCTTTATATGATCATAAATCACCAGTAGTGGGCAGGGTATAAATGATGAGGAAAATGGCAGGGTAAAACACGGTGAAAACTGATCATATCACACTAAAGTGATATCTCTTTGTACTTTATATGTGAAAATATTAATTATTTACTGTAACACTCCCAAAAATCTGTTAAGTCAACACGTGTTGTCTGCTCTGCCTGTCTACAACCGATCTGCTTGGTCTGAGTGTACTCTCATCCAGAAAAATTGTAAAATTACACCATGGTGCTTCAACAAAGTTCCTTTCATATCAGAGTAAGATCATTCAGTAATTATATAAGACTAACCCGCTAGCAAAAGTGATTGAAAACAATTATAAAAATTCACGATTTTCATTGTTATACTATAGTGGACACTGTTGTAGTTTTGTGGAAATATGTAAAAAAATGGATATTTTTAAAATAAATGTAACTTACATTTGTGAGTATGAAGAACAGACTTGACCAACCAAATCAAACAATCCTACCTAACCTTACCTAACTTCCCTGGTATATTAAACAGAAAGAACTTACTATGATATGGTAAAATTTGAGGCATTTTCTGGATGTGAGATGTACGGCTGTATTGGTGCTATGCAGCCCTGGTGGGTTAGTCCTATATATTAACCGTTCTTTCTATTTAATATGATAGGAGGTCAAGGGGGCGGAGGCCCCCTGGGGTAGGAGGTTAGGTAGGTTTCTTTGGTTGGTTAGGTCAGGTTCTAGTTAATGTCACTTCTTTTAAAATATTTACTATAATGATAAGACCATTTCCGAAAAAAATTAACAAAATCTAACAAATCCTTCTGGTGGTAGAGTTGTTCTCATATGTTACTTATTAGGGTAATAGTCTATTAGAAACGGCCAGGTTAACGAGTTACCTGATGAAAAATCCTTGTAGAAGAAATAGTAATAATTGACGAGAGTGGCCGGGCCTTAGCATCAACCTGACAAAATTTCTTCACATAAGATAAAAGCTTTTCTACCTTGAGGCACATACAAACAATACACAAGATATACGTTTTGTGAGATATCAGTTTTGACAGGTCAGTTTTGACAGGTAAAATAGGCAGAAGATGGCCAAACAAGACCTTCCTGTGAGCACCATGTTTATACAATAGGAAAAGTTCTTTTTGCAATAATGAATATTATTCTGTATTACAAGGATAAACTATTAAATAACTAGTACAGTACAGTACTGTATTTTTGTTTGGGTTAGGTCAGGTCTGGTACCATAGGTTAGTTGGTAATACTGTACTGTACTTGATGGGAGTGGTCCAGCTTTAGCAGCAACCTGATGAAATTTCCCCATAGAATATAAAGGATTTCTTACCTTGAGAAACATACAGAAATGTCTTTTGTCTCACTTCAGTTTTACAATTTTAACCTTTGTTAGATTGGTTGATGTTTACTTACACTCAGGAGATTGTTCTTCCCAATATTTTTTTCTTATTTATGGAATACAGTATAGTGATCAGGTAACTGAAAGATTGATCTAAACTTGATTTAAAATTTACAGGCATAGTGTAATTGGCATTTTAATTGCTGGTGCAGAATTCTAAATTAGTTTGATTACTTCAAGTGTTAATTATAATGGTTAACACTAATTACAAAATTTTTAAAATTTCTTAAGTAGATCCTAAGTCAATAATTCATGGAATATCTTTACTGGTCAAGGATATACATTAATCATTTTGAAGTCAAGTAATTGGGGTTAATTAATGACTTTCCAACGAATTGTACCCCATTTAGAATACAGGTACAGTATTTAATATGCCAGTTTTGCTGTGCTTGTAATTTTGTATTTTACATTTAGATACATTTATGCATTTTACCATAAATATTCACTAACTTTACCGTATGAACACATTACCGTACCTTTCACTTTTCAGTACAGGTACAGTACGTATACTGTATTTGGCCCCCCAAAATGCCTTTTGCAGTATAAGTACAGTACAGTACCTTGAATTTGGGGAAAAGTGGTCACTTTTGTATGAAATTTAATCAAAATCTATATATTCACCATTTGTGCTCAATTGCAAGGTAATAAAGATATTTATTTACTGATTTATTTATTTATTTTCGAAAATAATTTTTGTCTGGAAAGTTAAAAGAAATGCATTTTATCATGGGGGTAATGGTTATATGAAGATAATTAGATAAAAGAAGGAATAACTACTATTGACAAAATTTTTCCCTTGGGTAAAATTAGGCAGGAAAACAATTTCCAAACTGGCAATTCTGGTTTTTGATAAAATTATATATTGCTTATAGGTAATGAATAGTAGACTGCTGTATAGTGTATACTGTACATTATTAGTTGTCTATATTTTTGTTTCTTTTAATTTTATCCTCATTGCCACTGAACTGCTTGTTAGCCGCTTGGGTGGTCGGTCACGTCTCTGTTACTCACTGTTGGCAAGTACTGGATATGCACTGGCTCCTGAATGTGTCTGAACCTGCTCCAGTGCTGCTCAAGTCTAGTCTTGAAACAGTTCACACTTGGTGCCATCACAACACACTCTGGCAGGTTGTTCCAAGAGTTTACTACTCTCATTGCAAAAAGTTCGCCCTCACAGTTTTCTGGGCTAGCGGCTTCTTCAACCTTGAGCTGTGACCCCACAAATAGCCTTATAGAGTATTATATGTAGAGAATGTTACATAAGGATTTTCTGAGTAATGTGTATTTATCGGAAATAGCAATATGTATTATATTACCCTGTAAATAAATTATTTTTTTTTATAATTGTAACAAGTTCAGTAAAAAAAAATGGTTGCCTGTAGGGCCTTTGGACATGTTAATATGTGAACACTGCTTTCTTCTGCTCACATGCACTAACATATGCATCTTTCCATTAAACCTTATGCCCCTGGCAACAAAAGACCCACCATGGGCATATTTGGGCAAAAACAAAAAACAAATGCACCCTTGAAAATTGGTATTGTATTTCAAATGTAAAATTAGTACTATCACTTCAAGCATACTGTTATGGCTGGCGTGCACATGGTTCCCTATGTCCACGGCCACCACATTGTCCTTGTCCTCACTGAGGGGGTGGGGAGGGGTAGTGAGTGCCATTGTCTGTATCACTTGTCCTCACCACTGGCCGCCTCAGCAAATTTGACATCATCTGGGTCTGCTTCCTCCCCATCACTGTCTTTGTCACCCAATATTAAATCAATGCTACTCAAATCAAGCAACTCTTGATGAGTAGCACTACTGTCGAGGGTGTAGAGTAGCTAGGTGGGTCAAAAGATGTCGAAGAACGTGCATCCATCATGATAGCTGGTGGGTAACTGGACCACTAGACTTGAGACAAAGATTACATGCAAGTTGAGTTGCCAAGTAAATAAATTTCCTATACAAAGTACTTCATCCTGCCTAGACATTCAAACTATGTTGTGAAACTTAAGGACGTAGAGGAACTTCGCCCATGGTCGCTATGATTGAATGGAGGAACATTACCCAGATGTTAAGGGTTAAAATTGCCTTTCAAATTAATGTCATCTGCTGAAAGCAGCTGCTTAGCCCAATAAAATAAATTTACACCTCTTGATTTAATATTAAATGAGTTTGTTACCATAGATTTTTTTTTATTTTACTTATATTTGTTTCCTCAGGAATATACACTTGAGGTTTGGCGCACTCCTGACACAGAGACCAAATGGACCGTAAGCCACCGTTACTCCGACTTTGCACAGCTTCATGCAGCTCTCAAAGTTGGAGCTGTTGTGCTGCCTCAGCTCCCTCCTAAGAAAGTGTTTGGAAATACTGACAGGGATTTTATTAATGAGAGAAGGGTAGCACTACAGGTAAGGTTACATTTGTCATTACTGTACCAGGTTGTTATTTATTGTTACTGTTTTACAAAATATGAAGTGGTACTCCTTTTGGTTTAGTCTAGTCAGATGCATGCCTATTAATAAAAGACTCAAGATTTTAAGATTAATCTTTGAAGGAATTAACTCAAGTCTAAGATGACAGTAAAACCCCGACACTCAGCAAAATGAACCTCCAAAACAAATTGAATACATAATACTGTACTGGAATTCGATTACAACACTGTGCTGGTAATGTTTGGATATATCGGAAATATTATAGTTGCACTTTTTATTATTCAACAGAAATATCTGGAAGGCCTTCTTTCTAATCTCACCTTGGCTGCATCACTACCAGTAAAGAGATTTCTCGATCCTAAAAACTATACAAGGAATTTCCAAGGTAAGTTTATAATTAGGTTGTTTTATTCACTTTGAGAGGTATAGCCCTGGTCATTGTTGGGGACTGAATTAAGTTACCATAACTCCTCTTTCATGGTGGTAATCAGCTAATATGCTTGTAGGACTTTGTGTAAGAATGTTAGGTGAAAATATTGGGGAGGGGGGAAGTATAACATCAAAAGTAAATGAAATTATGTAGGATACTAGAAAAAAGGAAATAGACATTACTTTATTACAATACAGTAATTAGTTAATATAAAGTTTGATAGATGTATGTAAAGCTAAATGTTGGTACAGTATCTTAATACAAATGAGGTAAAAATAAGACCTAACAACCTGAAAGTCTCTAATACCATCTACAATGCAATTATCATTTATAGCAAAACAGAAATTGTAAATGTGAGGAATTTGTATCCTCGGGAGGCTAATGCTAATGTATCTTGGAACTTTCAGAGGAAGCTAGGCAGAATGTTCATATTATCCTGAGATCTGGAGGTAGTCACGAAGTAACAGAAGTGTTGCCGAGCTGTGGTACTCGTATATGCAAGGAACATTTCCTTGCACATCCTTTGGCAGATCCTAAGTCTCAACATGTATTGTGGTGGGCTCCATTTGGCCCTGATAGAGCTATGAACCTCCGTGATACTCATGCAACACTAACAGCCCTTGTTCAATGTCAGGTAAAGCTGTTGATTTTTTGGAAACATTCCATAACATTCTCTACATACTACTGAGTATGCAAAACTTACCAGTACAGTATAAATAACAGTGATTCTAAAATACACTACAGTATAGGGTGTGAAGATGGTCAGCAACTACAGTGTTTAGGAAGATTGTATTTTTCACTGTATTAACTGTAGTCTGCAGCATTCATGATGCAGATAGACAGAAACACACTAATACTGTTACCCGGAACAATTGGTGTCGAGCACATCCGGGAATGAGAGATTTCCGGGTAACGAGACTACTCTCTGAAAGCCGAAAAAAATCCCTCTTCCCCAGAATTTTCCGGGTAACGGAAAAATGTTCTTGGAAGTTCCAGAAAATGCACCTGATTTTCATCTCTCAAACCTGGAAAAAATATCTCCCATCCCCTTAATTATCCGGGTATCGGGAAAATTTTCTGGGAATTTTCCGGAAAATGTGCCCTTCGGAAAATCGTTCCCAAAACCGGAATTTTCCAGAATATTCCAGCTTTGGGAACGATTTTCCAAGAAAATTTTAATTCCGGCTATCAGAGAGTTCCGGGTTTGAGGGATTCCGGCTAACGGAGATATTACTGTACTGTACTACATATTTGACAGTAAAGCTTAATAAAAAAAATAAAAGTTGGATTTGTGTGCAGATTTGAGGGGCCTAAATTGGAAGGGTTTATAGTGTAGTGATTCAATTTTAGTCCTTATAAAATTTTGTTACATTTGGATTAAAGTCATTTAAGTGTTCTGTGGCTGCACAGCATTGATAGTGCTCTGATTTTCCAGTCTAAGGAACAGTCCTGTGGAATGTATTTTAAATGTTGTATTTTAGTTTGAGATTTGTCTTGTATTTAGAGAATCCTTTTTAAAGTACTCCATTCTCAGAAATTTTCCCAAAATCAAATCTAGGATTGGAAAAAGACCTAATTACCCAAACAGTATTAAATAAATGTGTAAGTGTTTCATGTTTCCTGAGGGGAGTAGATAGTCATCTTAGGTTATCAACATGAAAAATTGTACTTAGCATTAAGATTTGGTTTTTTCCCCAAATATTTTTTGTAAAAAGCTGCATTAGGAGTGTGACCTAAGGAAAAATTTAACTGTAGAAAATGAAACACTTTGTGAAGTATTATTTAGAATCTTGACTAAATATAATTTTTTTCCTGGCAGCATCCATACATAGTGCCAGCAATCAGTAATATCGCCACTGAAGCTGGAGTGTGTGTTGTACGGCCGTGGTTTCCTCAGGTAAGATTGCACGACCAGGAATTTTTAAGTTACATGAGGTTATTTAAATTCCTTCTAACATGCATTTAAATTCCAAATTGCTTGGAATTTTCTCTAAACTGACATATACATACCTTATTAACATCAGTGTTGCATCTTTAATTTCATAAAGGATATTTATTTCCAAGATAGCCAAGCAAAAATTATCACATGTCTGATTCTTATGAAAGTTGAATGACATACTGTGGGGTGTTTCTAACTTTAAGTGTTCTGTATGTGCAGTTAAGGGTGCGTATACACTAGCGTACATTTTGGCCGAAATATGTGATTGACAAGAAGAAATGAAGCATAGGGTTTCGAATTGTCATTTATGAAAACATTATTGGGAACAATGCTGCAGACAATTTGGGCAGAAGCTGTCAGCATTGTTGGCAACAATGTTTGTATCATTGTTTGCATATCTGTAGGGTTGAAGCTGTCAACATTGTTGGACACAACAGAGGTGAAGTAAACACTTAGTCCACACTAGTTGGATCACAGTACAACACGATGTTGGCAAGTGAAGACGTACTGCTTGCAGCAGTCACAGCAATGAATTTCTGTGGACAAAAGAGGCACTTTTGTTGCCATTTTTGGGTGTGGCCATCAATACAATGCTGAAACACAAGGGATCACAGAACTGTTTGGTAGCCCCAAGTATTCTGGTAAGAGTCTATAGATACTGTTCACTTATCTTGCTTTGTCTGTTCTGTACCTCCTTATATTTCTTATACTTGAGAAGTGTGCAGGGGAAAAGTCAAGCACTTCATTAAAGAAAATAGGACTATCTTCTGGGAATTTTTTTATACAGGGTTCCTTCTTCCCCACCCATCAATCCGTTGTTTAAGTAATCCATGATCGGAAGTGACATGATAGAGGTATGTGATTATGAATGGCTGTTGTCAGCAGATGGAAGGAAGTCTAAGCCTGACACTACAGTATGTTGAAACAATATCTGTTTGAGCAATATGTACATGGTATATAATAAGATACTGTACAGTACTGTATATTATTACAGAGTACCAATTTATATGCCAGATAATTAGGCCTAATGTCTTTGGACTGGGGTATGTAAGACAAGAGATATACTCAGGTGAATTAGTAGAAGCAGCTGAAGGGAGTATATACTGTATCCTTGGTCACAATGCACTAACTAGGCTGGGGTTTTGATCAGAACTCGTCACCTTCCACTGCCCTCAAAGAGTATTTAAGGATCATGAGAGAGGGAAAAACTTTGGATTTAGGGGGGAATACCTTAACTAGGTTACTCATCATGCAAGTGTTTAAGCCCTTTCATTTTTATTTACTTATTTTTCTATAAAAGCTCACTGTCTTTACTATTGCCTTTCTATTACTATTTTTCCATTTATCACTTTTTAACTTTTCACTGTAGAGATAGATGAACAAGGTTTTGTTGGTGGTCAGACAAGTGTGACAACCATTAGCTGCCTTGAGGAGGGATTAGTTGATTGTGGTAATTACATCTCTGGCGACGTAGTGCCTTGAAGGGAGTGGCCGCAGTTGGTTGGTGGTGTCAGTGTGTCTGTCCACCCCTAGAAAGCCGGCAGGTATTAGTATACTGTATACATGTTTACATGTAGGAAAATATGAGAATTTGTCATAACATACTTGTAAGATGTATATGGTATCAACCAATAAATATACACACCATATCATGTTTCATTACATACCTCCATTCTGGCATCATGTGTAGGGCATAGTTTGTTTCTGTTTAGCAGAAAACTCATGCTTTTCAAAGCAAGCCACTTATTTGTATGTAGATGTGTTGCACCATCACCTGATTTGTTCCCTTGTTTGTTTGTTTTTCTTCCCTCCCTCTCAAACTGTTTAAGCAAGCTTTTCATCTTTTCAACTTTGCTTTGTCTATTTTCAAAGCTTCAGAAATGGCCTTCCAATCATCTGTCTTCTTGACTTTGTTTTTATACTCTGTAACAGTGACATCCCATAATACCAGGTTGGAATGATACATCTCTAATAACATGAGAATTATTTCTTGGGTCCACTCTATATCCCAAATATACCTGATACTGGCACAACCTCCCATTACCCTTCTAGGTGTGTGTGTGTGTGTGTGTGTGTGCTCAGCTGGATTCACTGCTGCCACATGTAGCCTCGTCCACATGAGTGCTACCAACGTGATTTTACTAACATTACCAACATATGTGTGAAACATATCTCTTGCTCAAAATGATTTGAACACTACTGTTTCCAACATTGGGGTCCATGACATTATTGTTGACATGGTTACCAACACATCTTATTGTCTAGTGCGGCCGCACTAACAGAGTCGTAACCCTGTGCCTCGTTTTTTACTGTCGATCACGTTTTGGGTAAAACGTTTGGGAATGTTGCCGCACCCTAATGTGGCCTTAGCAAAGCTTGAGAAATTCAACATTGGGGATATATCCCTGGACTTTGTAAATGAGTTCTGCTTCCTGGGTGACATAATTAGTGCTAGAAGTGCCAGAAATGGCTGAAGGAAGTTGAGGGAGTTGCTGCCTCTATTAATGGTAAGAGAACCTTTATTTTTTTTTCATATGAAAGGAAAGTTGTATGCAACTGGCATGAGAAGTGTGATGTTGTATGACAGAAACGGGTGGTTAAAAATGATGACATATATAGGCTTGAGTGACCTAAGATGATTTGAACATGTGGAGAGAAAGGGGAAAACTAATTGGATTAAGAGGTGCATAAACCTAATTATAAAGGGGAGGAGAACCAGGGGTAGGCTAAGAATGAAATGGAGAGAGGTTGTAAGAAATGACATCAGAGTTAACAACCTGGTGAGAGAGGCTGCAAGAGACCATGCAGCATGGAGAGCTGCCATCTGGTAATCATGGTTAATCCACCCAAGTATGGAAAATGGCCGTAAAATGTTGAAAATGGTGGTGAATTCACAAATATTTTGATGTCTCACCAATACATAAAATCAAGATAGGATAGACCTTTTGATAATTTATTAACCCATCCCACATTACAATATGGTGGGTGAATGCATGAGTTTTTAAACAAAGGACTGGTCATGAAGTATCCACCAGCATAAAAACTTTTTCATTGTTAACCTTTGATGATCACGTTGTCTTTTATCCATAATGTTCTAATACTTTACACTTTTTGTGGCTAGAGTTCAGTTGGACTATCTGGCATAATTTTGAACAAAATATACCAGACAATTACCCTATAGTGTGAAAAATTTAAATATTGCACATGAAAGAAAATTAAAATTTTCCCCCCAAAATATAAGAGTGGCCAGCTTGGATATTCTGTGTTAAGGAGTGTCACTCAACTAAATGTGACTCTTTGTAGGGAAGTGTTCGTGATATGATACACCAGGCCAAGCCAAGAGGAAGTTCTTTGGTTAAATACTCCAGTGATAAGCTCTGCTCCATTCAACAAAAGGACTGTGCAATTTATGGCCGGCAGATACTGGAGGCCCTTCTGTTCTTGCATGAGAAAGGTTTAGGACATGGTGAGTGGGTTAAGTGCTTACTGAAGCATCCTATATATTGTATTCTGTTATATGTTTGTGCATGCAGAGTAATTTTTATTTGATTTGGTGGTGTCCAATTCTGTTTTGTTGTTTCAAGCTGCATTTTGACATGATATAGTATAATAATTTCAGGAAAGTGAAGAATAAATATTGAATAATGAGTGGGCAATTCTCTTATGTTTATATTTGAAGCTGTCATCAAAAAGTATAGGTTTGGCAATATGAAGTTTATTAGTGGTACTCATTATCCACTCTCTTACTGTAGCCTCTTTTAGTGATCTGACAAATGTTGAGGTTACCTAGACTCTTCTTTGACTGCTGTGCATTTTAAAAGCAATTGTCTTTTCTGTTTTGTAATTCAGTGGTGTCCAACAAATCTTTTAACATTCAGGATGAAAATGTCCCCAAATTGTATACCTGTAGTTTGGGAAATAAGGCTAGAAATACAGTACACTACATGTATACATCCCCTTCAAAGTATATTTTACACAAATAAAACTTTTCTTGGTACAAAAACTATTATGCAGTAAGTCTTCTATTTAAGCCGCTTCTATACGAGATGTTTTACTACATTGTTGCCAGTGAATTTGTGAGTGTAATGCAATTTAAAATGCATTGACACCATTGTGATGAAAGAAAAATGATCCAACATATTTTGTTTAGTCTTTAGCTTTCAGATTTTATGATTTTCATTAAAAAATATATTTTTCATTTTATTAACTACTTTATTCCTGTAGGTCACCTTCACACTGGGAATTTGGTGATTGATAATAATGTGTGTCGACTGTTAGAGCTTGAAAACCAAGTTGTAGGGCTTCCAAATCAGCTGAGATCACACATGATTCACCATCGGAAGATTAATTCAATCGAAGCAATTGATGTCTACTGTTTTGGCCACGTGTTGTATGAAATGATATTTCAGAAGCGTCTTACAACTAACACCTGTAATGAGTTGCCTCCAGAATGCCCAGCATTGTCTAGTAAGTTTATTGTTGATGAAGAAGTTGTACTATATTTGTAGGTTACTAAGTACAGTAGAGATAGAGTTTGTTTATATGTCTTCATAATATGCTCAATGAGTTTACTTAAGCATGTCCTCTTCTTGCACCATGAATTAAATTCATATTATCATTTAGTTTTCTGTAAGCAACTTTTTAAAAGAGAATACAGTACTAACATTTATGTTGTGGTATACTGTACATTTGTACTACGGTATATTAAATTTTAATTGGGTGAAGTATTGTTGACCATTCATCCTGTGGGTGACTATAACAGTGTTTGTGGTTATTAGGGTCAGTGCTGGAGAGTATCCTAAGCGCAGAAGCATGTAAGAATGGGCTCCCAACTGTTGCTGGACTCCTCACTCATCCTTTCTTCAATCAGGTAAAGTACCACATTATTGTACTGTACAGCTACTCCTCGACTTACGACCAACTATACTTACGACCACCCGGACATACGACCGCCCCAGTCGTACCAAAAATTTTTCAAATTACGTACTTTCGAGTCCCGATGTTAGTGACCCTCCAGTCAAAATAATTGCCCACCCCTGAATTAGAGGCATTACCTTTGGAGTTTTATTAAATTATAAATTTGTTTTTCTTGATTGGGTTTATGTTTCACTTATTCATATATTTATTTGAATTTGCATAGGTTCCACTTCACAGCTACGAGAAACCCAGCCTCCGCCTCCCATCCAGTGTCAAGCAGGCTATAGCACTTTCACATGAGGCCATGTTCACCAGACTTGCAGCTGATCAAAAGAAGGTAATGATTAGGAAGAAGGAAGAGGTACTGTACATATATAGTACTGTATATCAGTATGCACTAGTTTCTCCCCAGCCATTTACCACATATACTACAGGGAGAGGTTTAAAGATAATAGCTATTCAGTTTTTTATGTGCAGGATTTATATACAAAAGACAAGTACAGTTCAACAAAATTTAGGCTAGAGTCTTTAAGTACCTGTACTGTTTGCACATTTTGAGTTATAATATTGGTTGAAACTTTTAATGATTATGGTTTTGGGTATTTTTGCAGATACGACAACAGAGAAAGCTGTCCAAGTTTGAAGCCTTTGTTTCACAACAGTCCAGCAAGAATAGATCAAAAAAAGTATGTTAAAGGCTTAAGCGTATGAAATTGAAATTCACATTGTATTGGTGATTCAGAATTTCTTTCTGTTATGACAATTCCTTCTTGTCACTGATATTGGATTTGAACTCAATTGAACTGATTTAGATAGGCACTTCTTCAAATCATCGAGCTAAACTTGGAGCTACCACAGTCTGCATTTCCAAAATGATGATTTAGGTAATTAGACTAACACAATTGGGTTGTTTTCAATGAGTTCGTGATCTCTTGGGCTTTACTAAGTCTTTACTCTTCCTGAAAGGGATCTCCTTAATGTGTATTGTATAGACAAAATCATTACTATCTTGGTTGATGTGAGTGAAAAAATACATGGATGTTCCTTGTATTTATAGTTGTTGTCTTGAATATTTCCTGTCACTTTATGTTAGTCATCACCACAGTCCCTTGGTACTTTTTTACCTTCTTTGAGATCTCAGTGCATGATGAGTCGCCCAGAACAGAAGTGGAAGAGGGAGTAAAGATAGTGATCTTTTGTCTTTATGAAACAAAATAGAGATGCTGTAAAGTTGTGTATAACTTGAATGATATAAATTCTCTTTTCAGCATTTGCATCTTGAAACTAATGGTGAATCAGCAAAAAGTAATGAAAGATCACCTGGAGACTCAGTGAACAATACAGGTAGGAAGTGTTCTGCATCTTGTTTGATTGTTTTTAGCTAAGTTTATCTAGACCCCATGGTTCTATTGATAACATTCTGGACTCTCATAAGCAGAGGTTGAATTTTTTGTGGCCAGGGAAGGTTTGTAGAGTTATTGTGCTATGGTGTGCCTCAAGCTGGCACTAGTCATATAGACAGTTTGTGCTAAGCTAACACATTTGCCTGGATCTACACCACCCTACAAAGTGTGAGAAATTGCATAAAGAAAATAATATACAGTCAATCCTCGCTTTACGCGGTTCCACTTTACGCGTTTCCACGTTTATGCGGTACCCTACCGAAACCGGAATGCTCACTTTCCGCGGTGTGTGTACCCTTTTACGCGGAGAGCGGCGCGAGCAGGGTGCGCACAAGGTCGCCCAGTCATCAAAACATTACCGAGTTCTTCACCCGCCACCCACCACAGCCGGCCCAAGTCAGTGATGGTGATAATGATAGTGAGGATATGGACTTTGAGGGGTTTAACAAAGAGGCCCTGCAAGCCTCTGTGGTGGATAGTGATACAAGTGATACAGGTGAGGGCCAATAATCTGCCTTCTGCCACGGAACCAACCCCCCATCCCCGTGTGCCCAGCCATCTTTTCTACTAATGTAAGTGTTAAAAAACCTAATATTATTGATATTTCTCTTAATTATTAATTGTGTGTGCATACCATCATAAAATTAAGAAGTTATTTTTACTACAACGTAGGTATTGTGTCTGAAAAAGTGGAGTTTGGGGGTCTGCCCGGTCTCTATTTCAATTAATCCCATATGTTATGTTGTTCACTTTACGCGTTTCTCACTTTACGCGGGCCGCCTTGGGTTCAATTGACTGCGTAAAGTGAGGGTTCACTGTATACGAAGTAAAGTTTGAGTGGTTTTAACATTGGTGTTGCATTTACCTTTAGTGGATTAACAGGTAACACTGAAACCCCAAGCTGAATTTATAACACTTACAGTATGATGCAAGTTTCAGATTATTTTTGCTTTTAGTCCTTATATGCTACTTAAAAGGCCACATGAGTTTGATTTCCTACACTTAAATGCTGCTAAAATATCCACTTAAGTTTGATTTTATAAAACTTAAATGTTGCTAAAAATGCCATATAAATTTAATTTGCTACACATTAGTGTTTAAAAATCAATCACTGGTCCTTGAGAAGAAAAGGTTTGTTTCTTCTTCAAGAAATTTGCCTTTATATGCATGGTTCAAGTGCATGAGAATACATATTGTTAAATATTTTATTGAGATATGTTTAAAAGGTAGTGATTTTTAATTGCATTTGTAGAGTCTACATGGTTAGAAAATAGTGCATCAATCATATCTTAGATGGCATCCTTGATGAAAAGATGCACTCTAAAATGATCACTTGATACATTATATGTCATGGGAAACTTTGCAAGTAATAGGAGATAAGGAAGTCATTATTAATTGCTTACCACATTGCAAGCAAATATACTGTAATTAACACGACCTCTATTTTCTTGGTAGCAGTACAGCAAGATGTGAACATCAGACGGTCAGTACACTTTAGCTGTGCATGATTTATAGATTGGGTTGTTATTGCTTGGAAGGATCTCCTGCTTTCTCTTCTCTATTATTTTCAATATGTTTTATGTAGCTTTTAAGTTATCTTGTTATTTTACTGTGTCAATGCAGGTTCTCATTCAAAGCTTCATATATGGCATTATCCTAGGGGGAAAATATCATAGAACGTGCATGTGATCCATGTAAATGAAGGTAACTCCAAGGAAAACTGAAACTCAATCACCCCCAAATGTTTTACATTCTCAAGGGAAGGTGCAATTTTAGGATGTGTCTAATTTTACTGCTGTATATGGTTACTCTCTTTTTCTGTGGTAGTAGATTCCCTTTCTGTTTGCTTTATCTATTCATCAGTGGATATGTCTATCTATTGCAGGGTGGCTGGTAAATGTAGTCATGGCATATTAATGTATTTACTTTTCTGATGGCGCTCTGCATTGACAATTTGTTTATTGCTTTGTACAGAACTGCTATGGTTTATTTAGGAGTACAGTACAGGTATCCCTCAATAATACACATCTTTATTATAATACGAAAACTATTCTCACGTATACGAATGATGGACCCAGCAAAAATTCAAATTGCACATACCTTCCCACAATTAACTTCCCACCATTCACTTATTATACACTGCAAATGCAGTTATTCCTCATTATCCATGTGTATTGAATCATTTTACAATGGCATCCAAGTGTTGTGTTGATTCTTTGGCTTCACCCAACATTGCCAAGGGACCGAGTAAACCTGTAATAATTGAAAACAAGTGTGAAACAATGAGACAATTTCCGGCAGTTAGTGTTAATTGAAGCATTAGGCCTACCGTTTCAGCCCAAATTTGGATTTTGTTTTAAATATCAGCACAGTATAAGCACTCCTGAGCATGCTGATTCTGAATCTATGGTCACCGAATCGATTGTTGGGTAATTAGTAGTTGTACTGTTGCTTGGAAAATTTTAATGATTTTTTCAATACTAATTAATTGCCAACATTCAGTTCCGAGGTGTGATTGTGGTATTTTTGTGTTATTCTAGAAGTTTAATTAGTTAAACCCCTTAGTACTGTATAGGTACTCCTGAGCATACTAAGTCCGAATCTATGGTCGACAATTCGATTGCGGGGAAATTAGTCATCATAACAACGCATGGAAGATTTGAATTATTTTTCAAAGCTAATTATCGCCAGCTATGGGTTTTCGAGAAAAGTATATATATTAATATCTCCGTTAGCCGGAATCCCTCAAACCCGGAACTCTCCGATAGTCGGAATTGAAATTTTCTCAGAAAATCGTTCCCAGAGCCCGAATTTTCCGGAAAATTCCGGCTTTGGGAACGTTTTTCCAAGGGTCACATTTTCCGGAAAATTAAAAGAAAATTTTCCAAATACCCCCAAAATTCTGGGGATGTGGGATTTTTTTCCCGGTTTGAGAGATGAAAATCAGGCGCATTTTCTGGAAATTCTGATAACATTTTTCTGTTACCCGGAAAATTCCGGGGATGAGGGATATTTTTCCAGGTTTGAGAGATGATGCAATGGGCAATTTCTGGAACATCCAAGAAAATTTTAACGTTGCTCGGAAAATTCTGGAAAATTCAGGGGATGAGGGATTTTTTCCGGCTTTGAGAGAGTCGTTTTGTTACCCGAAAATCTCTCATTCCCGGAAATGCTCTGCACCAATTATTCTGGCTAATGGGGATATCACTGTACTGTACTTTTCTTTCAAAAATTAAATTTAAGGAGTTTTAACTGTTTATTACTTCCAGATTAACACAAAAACACTAAACAAATTACAGGATCATAAATTCGGCAAATTATTGAACCTTGAAATAATTAGATGTAAAACATCAAACGTTGGGTCCATAAGTTGTAATCGCCTATAAATACATTTTCTCATGAATATACCCGTTCACTAACTTTCCAATTAAACACATTAGTTACTGACAGTATTTTTATAACCACTACAATATTAATAAGTTGGAAGTCTTCATTATACCTGTTTCCATACATAAAGGCTTCCATTAATGGCCTAATCTTTATGATTTTGTGTATTATCCGACCAAGTCTATGGGGTGAGAAACCAGTTCATTGATTATCTTTACTTTCTTACTGCAACTAGAGCTTTCGCATAATAGTTTTTTATTCACTTTGTATGATAGTTGGAGGATCAAGCCCCAGTCATTTCATGAATTGAGTTGTATCTTAGGGCAGGTTAAATAGGATGAAATGGGAAACCGTGTTGATCATGTCAGTTTTGAACATACAGTACATACAAAATTTATTGAGGCTGTCAAAATTCATTTTCATTTTTGGTGTTGTCAGTATAATGAAGCTGATGGAGAAACTTTTGGGAATCTCTTCACCCTTAATGAGCAAGCAACGATTCTCTAATCTGCCCCATTATGCACAAAAACTATAATCCCTACAAGTACCATCTCAGTTGATGTTTGTAGCCATTTAAAGATGAAGTACAGTATGTATTTTTCTCATAAAGAAAATTTAATGATAAAAGATTTCTTGTTTTACAGGTAATTTTCCAAACTCTAATAATGATGGACAGAAAAGTCCCTCATCATCATCCCAAACATCATCACTCTCACCACCGCCGCCCCCACCTCCACCTACGCTTGTAACTCCCTTACCTCCTCCTGTCAAATCTATACCTGATGACTCTCCTCCTGGTAAACCTCTGGATTTGGGTGAAGAGCATGCAGCCCTTCTATCTTCAATCTCTGGATTCAAAAAGGGCAAGCTCAGGAGGACAGAGACAAATGACCGTAGCGCACCCAGTATTTAGGTACGAGTCATGTTGTTTCATATGGCTGTTTAACTTTGATTCACAATTACATAAATCAAATTGAAGTATAATCTGTTCTGTTTTGATTACATTCATTATAAGTCACTCAGACAGCATATACCCTTTGACAAAAGTTTTTGAGATGAGTAATCATTTCACAAGGATACTATTGAAAAGATAAACAATTATTTCTTTATTTCAGAATGAATATCAATAATAAGACTCATTTTATAATGGTGACTTTGTTATTTTTGTATAGGTTGTTTGATCAGCTTGTACCACTTACCTGGTCAAAGATTATTTAAGATGCATTGTACACAGGAAACAAGGTAAGATTATGCAATTTTACTTCAAAATTACTTGAACAGTGCTCAGTTTTCATTATAGCTGAAGGTAGGTTAACACTGTGGAATAGGATAAAATTCATATTTTCTGCCTTCCATAGTTGGGTTCTAGAACTGGACATTTGACAGTAATATTACTCTCTCTCTCCCTCCCTGTTTTTATATATACAGCGTACTATATATATATATATATATATATATATATATATATATATATATATATATATATATATATATATACACACACACACACACACACACACACACGGCAGCTTTGATGATTCGGGACGCATATAGTGAATACTTAATCTTATGGGGAAAATTAGGATATGTTCCACAATTAAAAGTCAACAGTAATGCGATAAAAGTTGTGGAAAAATTATTAAATTTTTTACCTGTACTCAAATGTACTAAGTTAATGACTAAAATTTTTATGTCTGGTGCAATTTATGTAATGTTTATAGTCAAAATAATCACCATCTTACAGGAATTCCAGCAATGCTAAATGAAGTAGGTGACATTTTATAAGTGAAAAACTTAAACTCCCTGTCTTTTATCCCACTCCCTCCTGAACTCCTAACTGTCAACACCCCACCTCCCCTCCACCTCCCAGCCAGCAGGGGAGGCAGATGTCTGTGGGTGATAAGGATTAATGGGATGAAAGTGATTTTACACTTAAAATTCTTGTGTTATAAAATGTCACAGACTTGACTTGGCAGAATATAACTTGCATTGCTGGAATCCTTGCAAGATAATGATTAATTTGAGTATAAATATCTCATAGTTTGCACAAGAGATAAAAAATTTAGTTCTTTAGCTTACAGTACATTTGAGCACAAATTAAGTACAGTAATGTGTTTCTCAAAATTATGCTTTTTCACAGGGAAAAGTCTGTATAACTAACCCCATTGGTCAGGATATTATGGCATTGAATGCTACAGTGTACAGGTGCTCCTCTACTTAAGAATGTTCAACTTACAAACTTTTAGAGATACAAACATAATTACTGAGGGGGTTACCTGCCAGAACAGGTGTTTAATGTGGATGTGAATTGGATTATTTTGAAGAAAATTCCAGATAGAACAAACATTACCTAAGAGGAGAAGAGTGGGCCAGGTTTTAAGGCTGTATTAAAGGGTATAGCGTACTAAATATCCATAATCTTTTCATTTTTTACAATATGTTTGGTATCTACAAGAGTAAAGTTGGACTTCCACACAATTGGACTTACAAACAAGCCTCAGGAACGTACTCATTCGTAAGTAGAGGAGCACCTGTATTTCAATTAAGTTCTTTGTTTAGTTCTGTACATCTATGCGAATTCCCATATAGTAAATGGCATAAAGCGAGGGTCCAGTGTACAGTAAACGTGTACCATAGCACAAACACTTTGTCATAAAGAGGTCCCGTAAACCTGGACTATATTTATGCTGATGTAAGTTGTACTGGTACCAGTAATATTACATTTTGTGCATTATTTTGCCTTTTTTAACCTCGGCTTCGATGGTTCTGAATTTTCGCTAATCCGGAACCAGTCTGGTCCCAAGCTTCCTGGATTAGCAAGGTCCAACCTGTATATATATATATACTCGGTGTCCCCTTAATATACATCCTGATTATGGACATACTATACATACAGTCACAAATCATCAAAATATTTAGAGATGGCTGGAATCTATAGTCGATGAAATTAGGGTGAGTTGCAGGTATGGTCCAGTTGCTGTGGAAGAGATGAGAGAGGAATTGTCAGCCAGTGGTGGTAAGCCATTCCTGTTGCATACTTTTTCATATTTCACCATTCTGTCATTATTATAGACTATTCGGGATACAATAAAAAATATTGGGAATGTTTTGTGACATAAATTTTATAATTTGGGTTTCCACAGGAAATTGATGTCTGGTTAATGTACTGTACATCCAGTCATCACCATACAGATTTTCAGGAACACATCATGTATGTTAAGGGGATGCTGACTGGATGTACAGGTATATACAGTATTTTACTTTTGTTGACTCTGAGTCATATACAGTACAGTACTTGCCAGTATCTTTTCATCCAAGAGGTTGTCAACCCACAGGCTGAGAGATTTCCTAAAGTAGCATTCTCTACAGATCTGTTTTTCTGAATATTTTTTGCAATTTGTGTGTATTATCTACAAATTAAATTACCCTGTACAGTACTGTAGTTGTGCATCATATACAGAAATCATATGTAAATCTACATTATTATACAATACTAGAAATGAAAGACATAATTTTAATGTCACTGTCTAGACAATATACTACATGTGCTTCAAAAGATTGGAGAGAAGTGAATGTATAAAGGAACTGGGAAATTCTTATGAATTCTACAAAGATCTTGGGTCTAATTAGATAAACTAAATTGGTTATGATGAATATGAAGTAAAATCTTTGATGCTCAATTTGTGAGTCATGTGATTGGTTAAGTCCTGATGAACAAATATCTCGTGTTACTTTTATTATTGTCACTCAAGAAAATTAAATTTTGAAGGAGTTTTGTAAAAAAAAAAAAAAAAAATCCAACCTTACTGGTGTAAAAATTCCCAGAGACAGTAGAATATGTTCAGCAAATTGTTATTTATAGTGAATAAAGTATATATTCTCATTGGACACAAAGGGCTGATTAGGGTGTACATTAATTGGTTTTAGGTTAAGAAACTAATTGGAGTTTAGTTTATTAATTCATCCTTTAATGCTACCCAAAATCCAAGTACTGTAGGTGTATATCACACCAAACAATATTAATGCAACAGTTTTGGTTGACAATTAAAAATGCACTAGATACTGTGATGGCCAGAAATTTGGTTTTGTATGGTGCATCACTACTAAATCATGTGCTATAGTGATAGCCTCACTTTAAAGTTCCATTAATTCAAACATGACTAACTCTAGAACTGTATGGAAAAAATATATGGTACATATTTCTTAGGGCACATCCGATTGGGCATTGTTCCATGTCATTTATGCAGAGAAAATGTATCCTAAGATTGCCATCCTTGTTTCATGGAATTAGAGAAGTCATGTTTGGTAAAGCGTTGTATAAGTTACTTTAGGTTGAGAAATATGGCATGTTAGATTTGCTTGCTTTCTCTCCCCCCCCCCAATATTGTCTCCCTAGTCTTTTTTTTATACCAGTTCTGGAACCTTTAGCAACCAATGCTCTACTAAGATCCAGCTGACTGATTGTAGTCATGGCATATATACTGTATACAAATGATGAATTAAGGGATACAGTACTTTGCTCAACTTTGTGATTCAAATATTTACCCTACTTCTGATTTAACAGGAATTTGATTGCTTTATTTTTGAGTTCGTAATATGGAATTCAACTTTTTTTTTTCGCCATTAATAATATTCACTAAATTCAGTACATATGTTGGCATAAGTACCAGCTGCTATCCTTTAAGAAAGGCCCAGCAACACCATGTACCAGCTTAAACTATAATCACCAATATGCATTAAACCATATGTTAACATTACTCAAGTGGACCACAGTAATGTATGTTTGTCACACTTGTTAATTTTATCTGTGTAATGCTGCTTATGTATAAAACAAATATTCATATAGCACACAGTGATGTAAACAATAATTCATTGATATTGCTTGTGAAAATCAATTTGTCTTGTCTGATATTATGACCAAAACTCTTAATGATTATTAACCATTGTACACAAACATATTCAAGTGTTGGGTGCAAGGAGCTCAGGTCTCCAGGACAAGTGAAGTCCCTTATAAAAAATTGTAGGTCCCATAATAATACAACAAATTGAGACATTACTGTACCTCAAAATTTCATTTTAAGAAGAGAATAGGTGTTGGGTGACTCCAATATTCATCATTCACGAGGGATAATTTGAATTAAAAATACAGCAGAACCTTGTTTATCCCAAATTCATGGGACATTGGCAATTTCGGTTAATCACTCTTTTCGGTTATTTGAGCTATTTTAATAAATATATTATGGAATAAAGACTGGAAATATGAGTAGTATGTATAACAAAACTAAAGAATGTACTCCCCCAATTAACTGTTTGCAAACATGTGGTGGTTTAAGATGGTTAGTACATGTGTTATGAAGATACAAAACACACAACCCATGTGTTATGGAGATGTAGAATACAGTATAAGAAAAACATTTCACAAAAGAATATTGCAGCCAATAAACAATGGTAAAATAATCCAGAAAAGGGTGTGGTTATAAATTGGGCACATGGAGCAATGTGCTTGTAAAAAAAATCCATCAGCGCCACCGTGACAGTATCCTGAATCATGCCCCATCACAAGCGGATGGCAGGAAATCTAAATTGGAGTTCAGTTGTCTCTGGACGAGTACAGTTATTTGAAAATGATTCGTAATGGTTTTTTAAAAAATTTTGGTTACAGTATTTGAGTTTCGGTTGGAGGAGTTACGGTTAAACGAGGTTCTACTGTAATAGGGTGTGTCTTAGTTTAAAATTTTAGGTTTAGAGGTTTTTGCATTCTTGTCAAATTCCAATTTTTTTTTGGTAAAATGCATTAAATATTTAAGGATTTACAATAACACAAATTTTTATTGCTGTGTGGTGAGAGGGTTAGACTGTTATGTTGATTATGCCACAATTAAAGATCTTCTCTAATCCTTTCAATGAAAATTATGTTTTCTGTAAATGGTCAAATTACTCAGTAAAGCTTCCAATATACTAGGTGCCTGATGAAGAGAAGAGACAGATTGCTAACTGAAGTTAATTTTAGTATAAACTCTGGATTGGAGTTAAGCTAAAATGTTTGGCTGCAAGTTAACACTACAGGATTGAGGTGTGCATGTATGTGTGGTTTACCACCTAGACTGTCCCATAAGCCAATTCATGTGAACTAGTACTACTACATATTGGTAGGCTTTAGCACAGAAGAGTTACACTCTGTAGACAACAAATGAAAGATCTATAGTACAAGAATTATAAGCTATCATGTTAACATTCATTCAGCAAAGAAGCCACAACTCTGTTATAAATTTATGAAATATATAGCAGTTTAATGTTATGAAGTAACTTTGCCGAGTATAATTAATTACATTATCTGGATTTTAGGTATTTTGTATGATGCATAACATTTAAAATTTGATCAATGCTAGTGAAAATCAAGTACTGTACCTTGATCACAAAAAAATCTTTGTGCTCATTAGTCTGGACTCCAAGCTTTAGTCCAATACACAGCAGGTGGTTTTATTTTTTGTCATTATGTAGCAAACCTCTTCTCTCCAATATGAATGCATTTCCTAATCATCATGCTGCAGAACTTGTAAGTACCTTTACTGTGAAATATAACAGGCCATAGTACATGCTAGTTTTAAGTACATTAAGTTTTTATCACTGCTGTACATTTAAATAGCAACCAAGATTCTATTAACTCAGCATAGGGTAGTTAATGTCCTTAAACATTTCCTTATGCTGTCTTACCTTAACTGGAGGTTTTGCTAGAGAGTGAGTGTTACCTTTTCAAATCCCAAATTAAATGCATATCTGTGATCTTATTTTTTGTATTAATAAAATATTGAGACTTACAACAATGAATTGATAATTTAGTGTTGTATCTTGGGCAAAGATCTGAGGTTAACTCACTGGTAGATATCAGATGGTTGTGATAGATTGGTACTTTATGAATAAAATCTAGTCGAAGGCATTATTAGTAAAGCATGTGGTGTGATTAGTAAGAATATAAGGTCCATGTATGGAAAAAAGGCGAGCTTAGAAGAAATTCAGCATTTCATTCCACTGTACTATCCATGCAAATTCATCTTAAAGATTCCATCCTTAATGAAAACATGTGGTTATTCATCATTAAGTGAAAGCTTTCTTAGATATACCTATTGTTTTTTCAGAGATTGTACCATTTAATCTATCAATGAAGTTAACAAGGACACCCAAGTTTCTACATTTCATATTTTAGTTATGAAAGCAGTCAGGTACAAAGTTATTTTTGAAAGATCTTTAGTGTAGAATATTGTAATTATATATTTCAAACAAAGCTAGTTCAGCCTCATAAACATGCAGGTATATTTTTTAGTTGAATGTATATGTTTTATGAACTATAACTATAATGGATATAAGCTTTTTGTACAGGTATTAATATTTTCTTTATTTCATAATACTGTATTTGTATCTTATTACAAGTTTTACAGTTAAACATGTCAAGAGTATGAGGTACAGGAGTCAGTTTGTGTATCTTCTGGTTTTGTTTTGCATTTAAAGTTTTTGTTTCGCAAGTGCATTGATTGCTAGTCACTACACAGGCAGTATTAGATTATCAGTAACTCGGTGACACAACTGATTTCATCCTCTAGACAAGTAAACACATTTTGAAACTGTATTAATTAATTTTGATGAATTCTACACTACAATTGACTTCAAAATTGTTTCTCTTCAATTATTCCAGTATAAACTATAAATTGTTCATTGTTTTTATTTTTTATTATTGCTGTTCAACCTTGTGTCAGGGTCACTATAAATGTGGTTTGCACATCACACTATCAGTGCCCAATATTTAAACTATACCTGCACCAATTTGTGAAGTTTTCTTGCTGTTAGACTGATTTAATATATGTTGTGCAATTTTTTTTTCCCAAAGAACAAAATGGTTCTATTGTCCATCATTAAATTAAGACAATTTTCCATTAAAAATTAGCCATTTGTTCTTAGAAAGGGGCACATTCATGTTAATAGAATGTTTATAAATCAAACCCACATTAGAAAACCTGATAAGCCAAGTCCTCATCACTCAATTAGTGTGTTTATACTTTTATTGAGAAGCAAAGAAATTTAGTTTTACAATTGGCAACAAAATCTCAACTAGTTTCTAAAAAGACTAAATTATAATCTTTGCATGGAATAGCTAACCTAAGCCTCATTTTTCTGTAATGTTATTAAATCTGACACTGGAGCTGATTGTGTGTGTCTGAGAATATTAATTATTAGGTATTAGGTAGAGAATTAAAAAGTATTCACCCCTACCCTCATCAGATATAATGACAATGGAAAACAAGACTATTGCCTTATCAAGGTTGTCATTTAGTTTACAGAGCATAAACTGGTAGAAGTTTGATACTAGGATACTTATCACAATGTACAGCTCCTCCCCGACTTACGACCTGCCTCAGTCGTACCAAAATTTTGTCAAATTACATATTTTCGAGTCCCTATGTCAGCAATTGCGTTGTGTACTGACAATTTTTTTATATTGTAATTCACTTTAAAATGGCTGGCAAGCTAAAATGTGAGAGTTTTGTGGTGCTGAGAAGAAAAAGAGACATTTTAGATTTTCTATGTATTATTTAAGCATTTTCGACATACGGCCTGGATTTGGGTACCTAACCCCGTCGTAAGTCGGGGAGGAGCTGTACTGTAATACAGTACATTATTCTCATGATTTAGAAAATTTTTGCTATATAGTACAGTATATCAGAAGGGGCAAATGATTTTCTTAATACGGGTACAGTATAACTTGAATAAGCATAATATTACAGAATTAAATTTAAAAAGAGGATTACAAAAGTTTACATTTTAATTAAGTTACACACAAACTAAATCTGTTGGTGGGGGCTTTGCTTCTCCGGACACTACCCGACTGGCACCGCCAGTGTCCTTATTTCATATTGTTTGGACTAGTCTGTAAATCTGGCAGTTAATTCCTGTCTAATCCCACTCTAGGACTTGTAACTTAACCCTCATCAGACATATTCCACACTAGTTGCTATACAGAATGGCTGGAAGTTGCAGTCCCTGTCTGTTAAGGGTTAAGAGGATGTCTGAGCATTTATAAAACTTTCCAAATCTTCTAATAAGGGGTTTGATATACATTTTATAGCCCTTAAAGGCCATAAACTTTAAGTAATCTACTATGACTCCACAGTAGCTTTTATCTGGTTGGTGAGGTTATTATTGCAAATTAAAACATATAATTCATATCTCACATATGAACTGTTGCACAAGTGTGAATTAACTGGTGCATTAATGAATAAATATTTTGTTCTTCTACAAATTAGCACTTTGCTTCCCTTTGTCACTCTTAAATGCATATATAGATGTACACGATAAAAAAAGTACTGTATTTGTGCACATTTCACGCGAAACAATCCAACACCAGACGATGGATACTGCAAGATGACATACATTGCTTGCTAGCGACATTTTCTGTTTTTATGACGTGCAAATTCAGAAGAAAATATATTATTCCTGCTAACAATTTGTAGTGTGGTTCGTTTATGTTGTGGCTTGGGTGTACATATTGATAATTTAGGAAATCATTGGACCCAGTATGCATAGATATGTTTTTGGACCATGTGCACTTAAATGTGCATGTTTGTAAATATACTGTGAAGTAATTACATGTGTGGAAGTAAGTACAGTGAGTTCTGCTATAATGCGTGTTTTGATAACGCGAATTTGCTCTAACGCGATTTATGAATAGAGGAACGATATTTGTATAACGCGAACGCTTGTTTGCTGTAATGCGATTTTTGCTTACTATTTCTCCAATTTTGTGGTATTAACTGTGAATATGGTAAAGAAGAATATCTCCAAGAAGCGTTCTGGTGATCGAATTCCCGGTGATGATCGCAAAAGAAAGGATATAACACTTGAAGAGAAGCTCGATGTTATCAACCTCAAAATCACCCTTCTCCCCCATCAAGTTACATTCATATTTTTTCAAGGTAAAGTGTTACATTTATTGTATGATTTCATTATTAGATATGAATGTAACATTTATTTAGACTGTGCTATCCTTTGTTAGGCTAACTACTAAGTTTTTTAGATTTCGAGTAATCTGCACCTAACCCTATTTTCTCCATAAGCCCTGTTATTTCTATTACGCGATTTTCTATAGCACGATATTTTACAAGAACACAACTATCGCGTTATAGCAGAACTGACTGTACTTAGTTAAACCCACGAAATTCCAATTCCGAGAGAAAAGTATTTTTCGGTGCAAAAATTTCAAAGGCATTAGGTTTGTCGTTTTGGCTGTAATCTTCATCTCCGAGTTTTTGTTCAAAACCTTAGTACTGTATAGCTACTCCCGAGCATGTCAATTCAAAATCTATGGTTGACAATTTAATTGCGGGGTCATAATGACATGGAAAATTTTAATGAAATTATTTCAATGTTAATTACTTGCCAACTATGGGTTTCCAGGGTGTTATTTTTTTGTGTTTTATTTGAAATAATTAAGGGTGTCCTGTATGAAGGCCTGTTAGGATTATTTAAATTTATTTAGTCCATTTATCTCTGTATGAATATTAACATACCCAAAAGATTTTATTTAAACAACAGTCATGCGTCGCTTAACGTCCTAGATACGTTCTTGGAAACGTGACGTTAACCGAATTGGATGTTGTCTGAACATCACATTGCGAACTTTGTATTTATACTTACGTGTATGTGGAATATTGCAGTGTACTTGTACTGTACAATATTGACTAAATTTACTAGATAACGTACACAACTAGTGAAACACAGAGGTTAAGAACATAACCAGTAACGAGGCATTTCTTATATCTATCAAAACATATTATGGATATATAGTTACTGTACTGTATCATCATACACCTGGTAGCACAATCTATTTTGTTTAAGAACAAGTGATGCATGCGTGAGCGCGCCCACTCTAAGGCCACTTATGTCTGCTACGTCCCGTTGTCTGAATGGGTTTTTTTTTTATCCCCATTATTTTCTTATTATTTTTATGGGCCACGGACGTATATGCGATCAGACGTAAAGCGACACATGACCGTATGTGTATATTAAATTAACTCAAAATCAACTATTTGGAATGAACAGGAGACTGTTTTCTTCCATACAGTATTCTGGCAGCTTGGAACAGCTCTGCTACTCTGAAGGAGTAACACAAGTAGGTGAAGGACAGTGAGTGAGGTAACAGAGGTAAGCAACACTCCTGGAGAACAGTGGAAAGAGGTCAAGAGTGGTGTCACAGGGCTGGTGGTTAAGTGCACTAACTCATTTACAGCAGTTTTCTCAGTAATTTTGGAGCTTGTTCACACATAAATGGGATAATTAAACACTTTTCCCCGAGGCCTCTCACAACATTTGTATGACTGGTGTGAAAGGTCTCCGAAACATGTTTAATAAGCCCATTCATGTGTGGGGGCTGACTCGCGAATGCATTCGCCTATTTCTCAAATGACTGAGAAAATGGCTATTGGTTTTCTGGAGGGTGAAAGTGATGGTAAGGAGAACAAAGTTAAGGGGACTGCTGAAAGGAAGTTTTAAATTAGAATAATTTAGACATGGAAAGGAAATACTGTACTGTAATGGTTTGGCAATGGATTTGTGGACCAAGTTAACCACAATCGTCAAAATGAATCCATGGGAAAGTTTCAAATATAGGTTGGAAAGCTATACAATTAACTACAGCAGTTTCATTTATAATTGTTCTTCAACTACTACATTCTTAACTTGGAGAACACCTACAGTATACTAAGCAATTTATTATTTCCTAAAACAATGGTAATAAGGCCAAAAATGTTGTCAAACATGTTTATTAAGAATTTACAAACTATGACATACCATTGTTCTTGAAGGAATGTTTTGTTTGAAAAATACAAAGTTTTTCCTTTTATGATGAAACAATTATTCAAATCAGATATCTTCATTAGCTAAAACAAAAAACCTTGAAATAAAGAGCGATACAGTCACATACCTGGCTTGTAAATCATAAGCTACAGTTCTGAGGAGTTGCACCACTGCCTTATCTATCATGTATAAACAGTACCTGCATTGGTATTCAACAAAATCTGCAGAGGTGAGAGCAAACACTAAAAAAAAAAAAAAATAAAAAAAAAATAACCTTCATAATGCCACAATAGTACATATATTTACATTATGATTCTGAAACCTTAAGATGTATCGTGAAGTTTATGGGCTTCCATACAAGTTCAATTATCCCCATTGGTTTATAACCCTTAAACCAACAAGACTGCTTGTGTCACTGTTACAAGTAACCCAAAATCTATATACCAAAATATACATACTACATTAGACAAGAGAATGGCACTCCCACACCATACATTAACAATATTAAACTTTCTTGATTTAAACATGGATGTTACACAAGCATTCACCTCAGCATTACATCCAACAAAACACTCGGTCAAACACGGGAAGGAACAGGACTGCAGCTGCTGGGTCTCATGGAAATGTCATACTCTGGTACACTCTTTCATTCAGTATTTTCAGTGCAGTGAAAAAATACACAAACATGCATGAAAGTAGGGTATTATTCTCTCAGTTGAGTCATACTACTGACTTAAAAAGATATAACAACTAGTACTTCATTTTCTTAACAATGAACTCACTGTGAGCCATATATATATATACTTGTCTGTCCAATCTGTTATGTTTTGTTTTGTTTTGTAATCTAAATAAAGGGAGAGCTATTGATTCATTATTGCATTTCATGTACAAAAAAAAAAAAATAATCAATTTGTAGCGAAGAGAAATTAGAGCACATCTATACCTTGGTTCACACCATGACTCAAAACCCTGAAGCAGGGAGTGGGGCTTGACAAGTCATGGTATAAAAATAATTACTTCTTGGATAATTCATTGGATAGCCAGTCCAGACCTTCATACAAACCCTGTCCTTGAACTGCACATGTAGCTTGTATGTACCACTGAAAGCACAACAGAAGATACGTATTAGTACTACACTTTATATAATTCCCCCCTCCCAGGCACACTGAGGTGTTCCGGACCACTTTCTCACTTCATTCCTTGCTCTGCTCCATCACACATCCTGAATATAACCCAATTACAGTACTTCAAAACATTTAACACACAGCACCAGTTTCCACTATACAATCAATGCTCGCCATCAACATATGAAGCATAAACAGAGGATTCCTAGGTTATGAATGAGTTCTGTTTCTGAGGACGTTCTTTAAGTCGGAAATGTACGCGAGTCGGAACACCCTATATAGCCTAAGTCCTTTTATGCACATCAAGTCCCTTAATTTAAGATACAAGAAGAAACTGAATGACAAAATACAGTAAGGGAAAGTAAAAATTAAAGTTTAACACTTGCATTGAAACCTGGGACTAGCTGAGCTTCCATCCATATCACTTACAATCTTTCCATTTCAATTAACAATCCACTTGGTTTTTTGTTATCGCAGTTGAGTGCATTGGTGTAGATCCTTTTACATGTTCAAGAATTTTGTGTTTGGCTTTCAAAATTGTTCCAATTATTGACCGACTGAATCCCAAGGCTTTACAAATAACTGGTGGTGTTTTGCCTTTTTCAGAACATTTACTTACACCAACTTTCACTTCCATTGCAATCGTTTTCCTTTTCTTGGATGTACTACAGTAAATCCTTGTTTAACTAAACCACATATTTCCACAAATTGTTCTTACCTACAGTTGTAGGCTGCAAATCGACAGCTCAGTGTACTCCTTCAAATATCTTTACCACATCTAATTTAACACTTTTCCTCTTCTTTTTGTGACCACAAGCTGTAGTGGTGCATAATGTACATTTAGCACTCACCATTCTAGGGCTCAGAGAAATTTATAATTGGATTTTTAGTAAATATTGTTAGAGCATCAACCAACCACTGAAAAATAACATATATGGAGCCCACACTAGTCCCTTACACGGTTGAACGCCTTTGTACCGAATATTTAAAATTGTCATACATTTATCATTTTCATATATATTTTCAATTTTTTGTACAGTAGTACCTCGATTATTCGACTTAATGGCTTTTCCGATCCACTCCTCTCCCATATACAATAGGTTAGTTAAACGAGGGTTTACTGTACTATCACTTGCATCATTTTTGCATTTAGGAGCCAAGATGAGGGCAGAAAAATAGAGTTAATAAGCCAAAAACAACAGTTTGTACTTAATCACACATGTTACCGAGGTGAGGGTAAGCATATTGACTCTGCCTCAAGCCGCATAGCTGGGCGATGCATTACTCCCCACCTGCCACTCTGCCTCACCACACATCGTTCGTATCGGCAGGTGCTCCTAAGTTGGGGACCCTATGTACTTTCTACATTTCTGAACTTCCCCCTTTCCAATCTACCATAGCTACACCTTTCCTCCTAAATTTAATAACACTTATCCCTCTTTAGCACTTATACCCTTGACTTCATATAAAAAGTGGGTCCCACAGGCATGACTGCCTGTTAAATTCAGTGTGGATGAAATACGCTATAAACTAAGCCTTCATTTTGGGAGGAGGCAAGGGTCCATGACCACCTTCATTTTTCCAACCTGTGAAGTTGGGTACCAGCTGAGTGAACTAGGAGTGAACCAGCAACCCTTAAAACAGGAGGCAAGTGCTGAATCCACTAAAAACACCACACCCCAACTTTATATCAGGGAACTATAAATAATTGTTGTACAATGAATTTGAAAGGCAGTTAAAAGACTTGATACAAAAGATAGAGAACATGAGAAATGTAATGACTGTCACTTACCAAATCAAAAAGTTGATCAGTTATTTTTACTATACATGGCCAAAAGAGTTCATACCACCCACATCTACTTACCCTCCTGTTCCGTAATTGGTTAAGTCCTAAACGATCAGTAAGTTCAGCAGCAGTCATGGCATTTGGCAGATCCTGCTTGTTTGCAAACACTAGTAAGACAGCATCTCGAAGCTCATCTTCGTGCAGCTGTTAAATGAACGTATATGTACATGAATTGGGCACCAATAGCAAATACATGAAAATATAAATCCAACACATATTATATTTGATAATTTGTATGAAGATTTATATTTTTATTTAAAAAAAAATTAAACAAATTATACACTAAGTAAAATTAAATCTGAGGCTTACCATCTTTGCCAATTCATCTGAAGCCTCTGTGATTCTTTCTTTGTCATTACTGTCGACCACAAAGATGAGACCCTGAGTATTCTGGAAGTAGTGTCTCCACAGGGGACGAATTTTGTCTTGACCACCAACATCCCACACTGTGAAACTGATGTTCTTGTACTCAACCGTTTCAACGTTGAACCCTGAAAAAGCATGTGTATAAGTATTTAAAATCTGATCAACATTCCCTATCTCAATACAGTTGAACCTCGATTTACTCAGTTCTCGTTTACGCGTTTGGTCATTTACGTGGAACCTTGCCAGAACCGGGATGCCCGATTTACGCGGGAAGCGGCGCGGGCAGGGTGACACAAGGTCGCCCAGTCATCAAGACATTACCAAGTTCTTCACCCGCCACCCACCACAGCCGGCCCAAGTCAGTGATAGTGAGGATATGGTCTTACATGGACTTTGAGGGGTTTGACAAAGAGGCCCTGCAAGCCTCTGTGGTGGATAGTGATACAAATGATACAGGTGAGGGCCTATAATCTGCCCTCTGCCGCGGAACCAACCCCCCATCCCCGTGTGCCCAGCCATCTTTTCTACTAATGTAAGTGTTAAAAAACCTAATATTATTGATATTTCTCTTAATTATTAATTGTGTGTGCATACCATCATAAAATTAAGATGTTATTTTTACTACAACGTAGTTATTATGTCTGAAAAAGTGGAGTTTGGGAGTCGGCCCAGTCTCTATTTCAATTAATCCCATATGTTCTGTTATTCCATTTACGCGTTTCTCATTTTACGCGCTACTCCGCGGGCTCAAAAAACCTAATCTTATACAAACACTGGTGAGGGGGCACCTCACACACACACAAGCTATGGGGTTTTCGTACATCATTTGCATGTGCGGTACTTTGGAGTTTGAATATAACACACAAAACTTAATTGAATTTTGTTGAGCATCTGCAGACATGAAGCATTGTGGGGCTTGGTGTTAGGAAAGGTGGCCATCAGTCTATTTTTTATGGGAAACTTGTGGAGAAAATTTTTCTATAATTTGAAGAATCTTTTGTTCAGAAGGGGTACAGTAGTGCAATTTGTTTTAAAGGAATTTGAGTCTACTTGAATAAGGATCAACACAAGTTTCCCTGCAACAAAATGTACTCAACCTTTATGTTGCACAATTTTTCATGAACTAAAGTACAGTACTGTATATACCATAGCAATTTCCTGAGGTCATAATCCCAATATGTAAAGTTCATATTAATGCTTTTTTAAACATTTTCCTAGTAAACTATTGATAGACTTCAGTCAACATTAAAAGTTCTGATGCCACTATATTTCAAGATGAACACATGGCTGATAATGCCTGATTTTGTGAATCTTAGCTATATAAAATTGTGTACTTTTTCAGAGTGGAATTTTCATACAGTCTACAGGTACATTCAGTGCCTGCTTAAAGTACATTCCATCTACTGTACATACATTCAATGATATGTACACTTTATATTTGGTACCAATTATTCGATGTTATGTAAGAAGTTCAAATATACTAGCCCATGCGTGGCGGCTCCTATTTATGTACAGTACTGTACATGTATTAAGAAATGGCATGCTATTACTTTTTATGAAAAAATTAAAATAATCCACGTAAGTACAATACTGTACTCCTCAATTCCAGCACACAAGTGTGTGCTTATTAGAGCGTGGGGTCTACAACATATTTCTACACTATCAGGCACTCAACAATTTATTTAGACTGTTATTGTAACTATAATTTTTTTATAGGTAGGTTAGGTTAGTCAGGTCACACCATATTCTTGTAACAGACTACATGCGCTATAGATATCTCTGTAGACCACATGCTATAGTAACACCGTTTAGTATTTTCTATGGACCAACATAATGTACTGATGAAAAAAAATCATCACACATTATAAACTAAAATATTAACTTTAAGCATTATATTACATCAAGGAACTTCCAAAATTAATTGAAATGTGATATAAAGGAGAATGAATGATTCTGGATACAGTACAGTAAACTGCTATAATGGAGCTTAACCCCCCCCCCCCCACCATCATCTATGTGATGTTAATAAAATCATAACTTGGAAGCTCAGGAAGATTGTGGGTAGCATGAGTGATAATACTGTATAACAAGAGGGTGGGGATACTGAGAAGGTACAGTACTGTACTGTACTCTCAAATTTCAACAAAAGAGCAACTACTGCACTGGTAAAACTATCAAATTAGATGCCTGCATCACAGCACCAAGTAGACTCCGCACTCCCACATCAGATTTGATTTTACACGACTAGTATTTTTGGAGTAAGTGAAATCTGGAGGATAAGTAGATTTATGGAACCCCTCTCACCTATACTGTACTATGAGATAACGAACACTACATGCACACACAAAAAAAATTAAATGTGTTTTTGAGCAGAAAACTAGAGTTTTCCGTGAAAAGAAGTAAAACTGTCTAAAAAAAAACCCAGTTTTTCTGTACTGTATCTCAAAATCATAAAATTATGTCTGACTAATATCTGTCAATATCGTACAATAAACACATTGAAAGGAATTATATTTTTTACTAATTTTCCTCATACATATTTATTCCATTTACATATAATTGAAAACACTTACATAAATATTATGTTACAGAATTAGTGAGAACAACATGTATCACTTACCAATAGTAGGAATGGTTGTAACAATCTCTCCTAATTTTAACTTGTACAAGATTGTAGTTTTACCAGCTGCATCCAATCCCACTGGAATAGAAGAAAAAATAATTTATTGATACTTATTTAGTAGCTCTTTTTGCCTTCAGCAACCATACAATTGATCTATGTTCAGCAGAGCCTCTGTTTCATATGATGTTCTTCAAAAACTAATTGCTGTACTGTACACTGCACTACAATTTGAAAACTGCACAGTACAGCACTGTACTGTATATATTCACTACCCTTTCTCCTCATCCATTTCTGTGTGGGGAGGGATCAAGGGAATCACAAGAAAATTTTCAGGAAATAATAAGCAGAGTGAGGGGACAGCAAAGATAAATGACCATAAGATTTTTAATATAATTGTAATAAAAATATTACAGTATATTCAAATGAATAATCAAATACCATACTGTACAACATACAGTATCTTTATCTTGTATTAACTACTACTGTACTGAGTGGCAACCAATCCACAGTGTTTCAGTTAAATATACGTAGAACATCATGTAATTTGAAGAAAAGTAAGGGTGTGGAAGGAGAGCAAAGGTGACTAAAAGTGGAAAATCTTTTACAGTCAATAGGGTTTTAATTCACTAAATCTTATAATCCAAACATGTTTCTGTTTCACAAACTGTAGTAAATGAAAAGTGAAAATATACACCACAGGATTATTTTTCAAGCTTACCTTTCAAAAACCTAGACATTCTTCCTTATTTCAGTGGGGGAAGGGATTGAATACCACCCTCTAACAGCAATATAAATCACTTAACATTTATCAACATAGTACATCTTTTTTGCACCTCAACTATCAAGACCAAGTTCTTAATCGCCAAACTTAAAAAAATTAAATTAGATACAAATTCCTAAACCATTTCTGGACCAGGGTTGAATGAACTTGTAGGATTTCATTTCCGCATGGTGCAATACTATCAATGAGCAAGATATCTGGGTTTCTGTCACCTAGTGTTGTGAGGCACAATGGATTTTCAGGATTATATGCACAACAATACTGTACAGTACAGTACTAGCAAAATTATCCATCTTTGCACAGGTTTGGTATACAGTATACTGTACTGTATTGCCTTGACTCAGTTTGCCCTTCCTGACATAGATAACCACCTCAACCTCACATAATGGAAGCCCCTCGAAATCGAGGATGGCCGGCTCAAGGGCCTCCTAGGTGTGAATTTGTTAAGGTGTAGAAGTTGTCGCCAACACAACAACCACACCCTAAGTTAACGAGCTGCATAACCCAGTGTTACAGAATAGTCCGAGAAGACTGGACAGCTCGCCAACTGCACTGGTTAACCATTACCCCGGAATAACCTAACCTTGAACATCAAAGTGTGCCCTCCCTGACTGACAAGGGTAACCACCTTCTGCAATCTCCATGGTGATATCTCAAGTCAGGGAAGATTCTTGGTTCTAGCCCGGACTACCCTTGGTCAATAGTAATACAGTACCAACATTGGGACCCCAAGTAATACCCGGGTTTATAAGTGCAGTCTCAGGTTTCAAACTGTTTCCGATTTGGAATAATGGTAGAGAACAGACAGACAAATGTGTCCTTTTATTATTATAGATGACAGGAGAAAGTAAACAAAGACCCAAACAGCATTTCAACATTCACAACAAGCACTGGGTCTGGTATACTAAAATATGGGAAACTTAAACATAGGTTACAACATTACAAGTCCAAAAAAATTTTAAAACCAAGGGCAATAAGAGTGACTGTTAATACACAAAACTGAAGATCATGTGAGTGTGGAGGGAGAAGGAGAGTGCAAGTGCAGAGGGAGAGGGTGACCGTAATGAGAAAACTTGGGAAAAAAAAAAGTTTCAATCATCCACCTTTTGCATATGAAAATTTATAAACCAATTTTTGAGGTACGGCTCTTACACACTTATTATGAAAACTGATCTCCATAGTTCCCAAAGAACTAAAAAAGAAACCAATGAAATAATCAGATAATGGATTCAAATAATTCCTGAAAGTAAAACAAGAGTAGAAATATTGATACGAGGAAAAAGTTAAGAATTAGATACAGTATTTTGTATTAAGTCCAAGAGGGCGAACAGACAGCATGCCACACCTTCAAAATCTATTGTTACACTTGACTTTGAGAGATAGAACACCCTAAACTAAAACAAGTGTACAACTTACAAAGAGTTACCACAATATCAATTGTGGTTAAGAAGTCAACACACACTTCCCACTGTGCTGACCAAAAAAGAAAGATCTGCCAACCATATAAGAGATGCAGGTAAATATTCTGCATGTCACTTTGTACTCACACCAGTGAGGGTGATTAATAAGAAGGAATAGTACAGTATAGCAGCACGAAGAATTAGACTGGAGACAATGTACAGTATACCAGTTGGTGGAGCAACAGGTGGGAGTTGCTGAGGAGAGGAACAGAAAATGGAAGGCAAGCTTCAGACCCACAAAAGGAAGCCATAAAGGACAGGGGTCAGTAAGAAGCAGCAAAATCAAATGTCTTTCAAGGAAATTATGACTGTTGGAAAATAATCCGGAGTGAGAGTGAATAGGCTAACTATTGTGAATAAATCAAAATACACTAAGTACAGTACTGCATATAAATTGTAAATATTATATCCAAGAAGGGAAATATAATTACTTACATATGAAGGAAATAAAATGCAATCAAACAAATGTAATGATAGTCAAAAAGCACAAGTGTCTGAGGACTTTAGCAGGCCTGAGATCTTAGCCTCTGTGACTGCCACATTTTGCTTCACACTATTAGTCTTCTACTTTTCTAATAATTCTGACTGACTCCTAACTGAGATGCATGTTTTAAGGGATTGAGAGTTCTGGCCCAAGATAGATTACATGATATTGTGAGGGAGCGAAGAAATAAAGAATGCTGAGCATTGACTTAATACAAATGGCTATCAATATGTTAACAGCTGGAAGCCACTGCAAAATACAGCTATGTAAAGAGAAAATGATGATAATGAAAATTTACACTATCTTAGCAAGCCAAGAATGAAAGATTTTGTGAAGCATCTTGAGAACTTAAGAGGATGACTACCGGTAAGAGAAGAATATGAGGTATATGATGTGGTGCTGTTTGTGTGAACAACTAATAGTGATGTGTACAAGTGAAAATTTGATTTGTAAAATCAGAATGGCTATTAAGACTTTGTAAACAACAATAATGAAGTCCATTAAAACTGATAAAGTGAAGAATGATGTAATTAGAGAGAAATGAAGAATTGCTTAAGAGATTGAATTGAATTGAAACAGTTTATTTAGCCAGAAAAACACAGATACAGAGTGGATAATAATAACAATACGGTACTAACATGGCTAAGCCAGTTGAGAACCTGAGCTCTCTTTGAGGCACCTGATATATACTACACATTTATCTCAAGGAAGTATTAGGTAACATTTAGTAACATCTGGAATAGTACAATAGCATGGTGGTAATAAGAACATGGTTGATGATATGTCAATGGAGAGTACACAAGTGGTACACATGGGTACTCGTGTGAAAGTGGAATGACATCGGAAAAAAATTATCACATGCATTTGAATACAGGAGATGGGGTTAGGCAAAGCTGAAAACTAATGATATGGCAAAATAATATAGTGCAGGTATTACAACCCAAAAGATGGGTGTGCTGAAGGAGAAGTAGTCTGCAGAAATATCAAGATCATTATGTATATTAGCGTCTTTGCATTAGTCACAAAGATGAATAGCAAACTTAAGTTTTAAGAGTTTTGATTGATTTAATAAAAATAAAAATACTTGAAAATTTACCTGGTTATTAAAGAAAATCATAAAAAATTACTTACAGAAGCCTTACTGAGGGATGATGCTGGGGGGAGGGAAGTTTCTGGGGAAAGATCAACAGAATGGGTCAAGTAGGACAAGGGAGGCAATGCCAGGGCCAGTAGGTACATCTATACAACAAGGAGGACTTAACTTAAACCCAAACACATCGTACAACTTTCAATACACACTTCCATCCCTGTAACATATGTAGTATGAACTTTTTCTTTTGTGCACATCCTTATCAAAGGCTGAGTGCAATACATTAAGGGTAAATGATATGGCCATAGTTTAGTTAAATATTTTGTAAGATGTTTGGAGAAAGGTATACACTAAAGAACAAGGATCACCTTGTAACTTCAATTTTCAGATATTTTTCCTGATGCAGGAACATATTTCAAGGAAAACAGTGTTGTACAAAGAAAAAAACCCACTAATGTAGTTAGAACTTACAAAAATAGTCTTTTAAATATCCAAAGAAATGACAACTGCCCATTTATGAATAAACTGGGTCAGAAATGACAGGGCTCTACCATTTCTAACAGCAAATAAAATCAACTGTATAAAGCATTTGTATTCTAATTTCTTAAAACACAACTCTGTAAAGATTCCATCATTTTTTTATAACGTATATTTAAGTTGGACTCTTTCTTCACATAATTAATTGAACTTTTCTCTTCAGCCAGACCCACACCATCATCCCAGACAACAAATTCAAAAGCACAGAACCACCGCAAGCAGGTATGTCAATGTAATGTTACTGCTCTGTGTTATCTAAATATGAACTATGAACATAGGATATCTAATTCTTAAGACATTCTTTCTCACTCCTAATGGTGAAGGATTATTTGCCTTGCATAGCATACAAAACAAGAGGAGCGCTTTTTCTAGTGTTGTATGGTGATAACAAACAAGTAATAATGTTCCGGTGAACATGGGTAGGAAAACCAGGTACAAACACCTCAGGAGACTCCATTAAATGGAATTAACTGAGAATGGATCTCAAAAATTTTCAGAAGTGAACAATTCTTGTGTTAAAAAGAAAGTTAAAAATGGAGGACTAATGAATGAAATCCCATTTTATTGACGAGGCAAGAAGACAAATGGACTTTCCAAGAAATCTTCACAAAAACTCTAAGAGCAGATCCTGCCTGTGTCTGCCAAGGTTAGGAGACTTGACATGTTCTAATGACAAACTATGTTTTTTAACAACTCCTCATCCAGAGAACCAGGATTGCAGCAAAA